TTTTCAGAAATTTATAGCCCACTTTCCATGAGAATGGCCCACATATTATGGCAAGAAAAAAATTTCTTAAAAAAAAAAAAAAAACCAGCATAATTTTTTTTTAACATTAATTGCTAAAATACACTATTGATTTTTCTTTCTTTTTTGGAGCCATGCAATGCATATTTACACTTCATTATTGGTAATGCTTTATCATAGATCTATAAATTTGATATTTTAAAAAATAATCTTAATTTAATAGGGTGCATAGCCAAATCTCTAAACAAAAATAAGCACATTTAAAGTACTTTTTAAGCTCCATATACATTAACAAAATGCAAACTAATTTTCAAAGACTTTACTTGATCATGATAAAAAAACTAGCTTCTGATAAACTCTTTTCCTTATTATATTAGCCACCATTAAAAGATAGAAAGATTTTTCTGTTCGATTTCAGAGGGTGGAAAATGAAGCCTGAAATTGAGAATACCGTGCAAAATGCAGCTGAGTAGCACATGAGTGCAAGAATCTCACCAAATCCAGCACAGTAGAAGCACATGTGGACTTACAAGTATTTCATCAAATATGTGACATGATTGGCGCTATCATACGTTACGGACTATTGTTATACGCCAAAAAGGATTGTAGTTAAATGAATTGTAAAAACGTTGAATAGAGCAATGTGAAAACCACGCTTTTGCATGATACGCAGCGAAAATCGACATGGTAAAGAAAAAAAATTCATTTCCGAAAAGGGAAAATTAAGCACTTTTTAAAAACACCCCATGAAAAAAGCACTTTTAAGGGCTTTTTAAAAAAAGAAAATAAGCATCTATAAGCACTTTTTTAAAAGGCTACGCACCATGTTTAACTTTGCCAACAACCTCAAAATGTTGCAGGAAAAAAAAATACAAACTCGAGCAGATTTAGACTCAACAATATTTTGTTTAGATAAGCAGATCTTGAAAGTCGATCAATCCCATTCTTTCATTGTGGTGCGACATCATTGCATCATAATTTTGAAATAATTATGAAAACAATGTCTTCATAAATAGTAATAATTTATTTATTTATTTTAACATAAAATAATTATTACATTTTTCAAAAAAAGTTAAATTTGTAAATTAAAGCTGAACTTGAAAATAAATATTTATTGGAGGACGGAAAATCATTCCACTGCGCTTTTCTCAAGACTAATTTCAGTCCTCAGGACTGAAGAGTGGCACCCATATGTAACGTAGAATTAAAAAAAAATATTATAACAAATTTTTCAAGTGGCTAAGATATTACCTACTTTCAAAAAGTAAAAAAATAGATGTTTTGAGATTTTAAATTGAAAAATAATCACAGTGGAGATATTTATGATGGCACAAGACTAGATGATATAGTTTAATTATATATTCATCAAATACAAAGTTAGAGACAAAATGTACAAATAACAAATGATAACAATAAATAAACTCAATCTGGAATAAAATTCTCAACAAATATGCAGAACTATAGAAAATAATTTATTTACAGATATTATCACAGAAAGAAACTGATACATCCTCTTGAGACCTAGATCATACTGGATAACATATTGCATAGTAGTAGCTTATTTCCAACGGATAACATGCTGCAAAACAGCTGGTTTCCAATGGATAACATACTTAATAGCAGCTTATTCATATGGATAACACTTCGTTACCAATTGATAACCTAAGAGATATAACTCTTTTGGGTGTTGATTATAATTACATGAACAAATAAATACCTAAAGAATATTTTTCGGCTTGTACATTTTTCCAAATGTGTAAAATTGCAATCGATCTAATCTTTGACACCTCTGATTTTAATTTCAAGAACTAGATTTTAGGAGCCTGATAGTTTCTTCGCATGTGCAAATCAATAACAAAAAAAAATAAAAAAAATTCATTCTTCGAAAGAAACATACATAATTTAACCCTAAATTGCACAGTTTTGAATTTCATGAAAGATTTGTTAAAAAGTGAAGTTTAGAATAGTTATTTAGTAAATCAATATAACTTAAGCAGCCTCATGGTTTTATTGTATCTGAAAAATATAAAGAGCAAATTTAAGTTTGAATTAAAAAAAAAATAGACACACAATTACTTCCTCCAAAATTAAACTCTAGTGAATTTCAAGAAAGGATTGCTAAAAAGTTATAAGGAAAAATTTTATAGCAAATAAACAGTATTTTATTAGCCTAATTTTAATTGCAAAATTTAAAAAAATAATTTGAAAAATTATTATGTCTTTACACACAGGGTTACATTATTGCTTATCATATAATAATATAAAGATAATAATTTAGAAGCCTAATAGTGTTTGTTGCACTATCACATAATGCATATAGATACGTAATATTCTTGTTTGTTGTTTGATAAAATTGTTGAAAATTAGAATTTACATATGACTATTCAAATAAAAAAAAACTTTTATTTTTTTCTCTAATGACTAAAGACAAATATTTGCTGCAGTCAGTAAAATCTTAGGTCTCAAGAAGAAATGATGTAACAATATAAATATCATAAGCACATTTAACAAACAACTAAAAATCATAATAGACACAAAGCATTTGAATTAGAGCAAATGGAAATATGCAGCACATTTTTCAAGCACTGAAGTACCTTCATAACTCAAATTTTATGGGGCAAGGGGAAGTCGGAAAATTGTAAGATAGAATACTTTAGAAGAATAGAAAAATTTAGATATAATTGTCAATAGAACTTTTTTCAGGTCCACTTTTTAAAGAGTACAAATAATAAATTATGGGTTAATTTATAAAGAACAAAGTACAATTATCTGAAAATAATACAGTACCATAAATAAGTACTCATGTCATTAATAATAATAACACAATTTTTATTCCTATTCAGGAAATTTTTCGAATTGTTACACCAAGTTGAAAATACAATAAAAATTTAATTTAACGATATTTTTATCGCTTCTCAATTTTTGAGAAAATATTGTAATAACATAAAATAATTTAATATTTTAAATAAAGTCACAACTATTAGATACGTTTGATTATTGGTTTAGGATGTTGGAAAATTGAGAAAGTTTATTAAATAGGCATCAGAAATAATTAGGATTAAACTGTAATGTAAAACTGTTGATAATAAAGCAAGAAGTTTATATTAACTTTTCGTTATGAGAAGCCTCTTTCAATCAAATAACGTTGGGAAAAACCAGTACCATAAGTTATTTGATTGGAAGATTTTTGTGATATTTATTAGATTCCAAATTTTTTTGCTCTGCTGAAGAAGAACAAAATTTTTCCACTAAAATAACTGATGGAAAATTTGCTTTTTGCCCCCTAAGCAGAGCTAACATATATTGATACATTTTCACCATATGAATGAAATTTATTCTAAATGATATAAATGAAAAAGTTATTATTTTCTTTAAAAAAATATAGATATTCGTATAAAGGAAACTTTCTGCAATTCTAGAAAGAAAATAAAAACTTTTAATGGTTAAAAATAGGAATATGATTCTTTTTAAATGGAAGTACATTAGCAAAAGATGGGTATAGTATACAAAGCACAAGAATAATTTTAAAACAGGAATAATTTAAAGATGGATAGCACAAAAGTCAGTAATTAAAGATTTTTTTCTACCTACATATTTCATTTCATTGTTTAATTTCAGCCAAGTGATGTAATTGTGACTACGAGATACTTTATTTTTAATTTTGTTACTGTAGTTAAGAAATATTTTTTAATAAAGGAACAAAATTAAAACCTAGCTACTACAAAAGTACTCAAACTTGGATATAAGGGTTCATTTCTCAAGCTGTCCTAACCCCTATTTCATTACCCTTTTTAATAAAAATATTAGAGATTGTTTAAATTAATCATGTTTATTTTTAATACTTTGAAGCAGGCTCAATTCCAAAATTTCTAAAGGCAGAATAAAAAGTATTATATATAGCAATATCTATAGCAAACATGAAAATGTACAAGATAAAAAAACTAAAAAAGAATAATATTTTGTTCAGTTGGATTTACTTATGGCACTTTATATGAAATAAATATATATTAAAAGATCCAAAAACAGCATCAAAACATACTTTTTGATTAGATGTTACTAAAATGTATTTAGTTTAGTGAAAATATATTCTATAATTTTGCAAAATTTTGATATAGTTAATATTTTTATTAGCAATGTCATATATTAGATTTTGTGAGCAAAAAAGAAAAAATGATTGAATCTGGATGGAAACATGGAAAGATTTCCTAAAATGCAGAATTTTTACAGCAAACAACAGTAATGGATGTTAGAATTATTTAAATTGAATTTCAATAACTGGTTACTGATACTGACATTTCTAAGACTGGTTATTTTACAGAATTTTCGAAAAAAAAAATGCAAGCTTATCTGTATATTCGACGCTTTTTACATTAAAAAATTCCCTGACAATTCCAGGTTTTCCCTGACATATGGGAGCCCTGCATAAGTGGAAACTTAATCTTACATTAAATGCATAATTAACTAATAGAGTTCATTTTAAAAAATTGTGACTAAAAATTTAAGCTAACAGTTTATCAAATTTCTTTCTTCAAAATATTTTTGACATAATATATATATATATATATATATATTTTTTTTTTAAATAGTAAAAAGCAAGAGAAAAAAAGATAATTAAATCTAACTCAACAAAATCAAAACTCATTTTAATGTATGAAATAAACACAAAAAAAATATTTAAAAAAATTATCATCTAGTAAGCCTTCAAAACATAACAGTACAAGAGAAATAAATGTAATGGGTATAAGTGTAAAATTTAATACTCTTGAAATACTTTGCAACTTTTTTTAAACCTTAACTGTTAGGCCTATCAGCAAAAATAAATGGAAGTTTCTCTTTTATATATATATTTCATATACTGTAAAGAAACATAGTTTCAAAGTTTTTTTTAAATAACTTGATAATAAAAAAAAAACTGCAGGATGAAACAAATAACATATATTATAAATTTTAGAAAACAAAACAAAGTAACATATACAAATAAATGTCATAAGATAAAAAGAAATTTACACAAATAAGTGCTAGTCCACATATATAAACATCTCATAATATACACTTCTTGCATAGTAGAGAACATAAATCCGTTGTTGTACGAACCTGCCTCGATTGCTTATTTAACAATCATACAAATGTAATCTCAATGAGCAAAGAGAAAATGACGCTGCTTTACAGCAACGTCCAAAAAGATACTTTGACTTTACAAGCAATGCACATTTTCTTTTTACAAGTTCAAATATATTTACACATTGCCCTCTCCTTTCGAATTATTGCACAGAAAATCAACTTCAAGCAAATTTTTGCCATGCTAGCTGAGTTTTTTTTTATTTCTTTGCGTGTTGGATTCCTATTCAGAACAGGGGAAAAAAGGCCCAATTCTTTCAACCTGAAGGCAAGTTAAATATTGCCTCTTCCTTTCAATTATTGCACAACAAATTAATTTCAAGTAAATTTTTGCTATGTTAGTCGAGTTTATATTTCTTCTTGTTTTTGGGCTTTTATTCAGAACAGTTGTAAAAACGTCTAATTCCTTCATGCAGAAAGCAACTAACATATCACTTTTCAATTATTGCATAATAAACCAACTTCAAGTAAATTTTTGCCATGTAGGCTGCGCTTTAATTTCTTTGTGTTTGGTTTTCGGACTCTTCTTCAGTACGTTGGCAAGGGGGTCTAATGCTTTCAAGCTGGAATCAAGAATGGAGCTTACCTTTTGTGTTTTCTCTGTGCTTGAAGATGCACTTTTATTGAATAAAGGTGAATTACTCAGTCCATAATCGTCCAACAAACTCCTTTCAGCATCGCTCAACACATTGCTACCATCTACAAAAAACTTTGAGGAGGACTTCATTTTCGGTGGAAGCGGTGGCTTCACTTCAGTTGCTGCGCTTTCAAAGTTGCTGCCACCATTCATTTGTAAATTAGCCTGAGCTGGCACAAAATTTATGACCTGTTGACGATACTGGGATTGCGCCGGGAAGGGAGGTACTACGATGCGTGGTAGAGCAACTCTTGGAGCACAGTAACTAGGAACTTGAATATAGCCAACTGGTTGATTAACCACTTGGTTTCCAGAGCTTGTGGATAAGTTTTGAATTGTGTTTTTCAACTCCATAACCCTAGAGTCACAGGAGGATTTTGGCGCCAAGAAAGACAAAAGATCTTTATCGTTGGCATTAGTCTCCTGTAATGGATCGAAAAGAGTGACATCATCTAATGACTCCAATTGTATGAGGTCGGCTGAAGTTTTTGAAGCACTTTGAGATGTTTCATGGTTCATTTCAGTATTAGCCTTGTTATTTTTAGCGTTTTTCTTGACTCGAGGTGGAGGTATTGGAGCAGGCAATACAGACTCGGATGTAACACAAAATGAATCATCAAATCCAACAGTTCCCTTAAATGAAAAACAGAAAATTATCACTTGCAAATTAAAGGCACTGTGTTGAAGTTTTAAGTATACCAACTGTCTAGTAAAAGTCTGGAATAATGAGTAGTTATTCCAGATCTTTATGTGAAAATCACAAAAACCTGTGGTCCATTTAGACTTATAGCAGGTTAATATTTGTGAAATTAAGCCGACCTGGAGGCCGAATGGTTAGCATGCCTGACTGCGGAGCCGCTGGTCGCGGGTTCAAATCCTGCTCAGGGCATGGATGTTTCTTTCTCTCTTTGTGCTCTATGTCATTTCTCTTATGTGTGTGATTGTGACCCGCCCTATAAACGGGTTTAAAGTTGTGTGATGTGGGCGATGCTGCTCCACCGCCGTGGCTTCGCCACAGGTGCCCACTGGGTAACGAGAAGAGAGTAGCAGTTCTGGCAGCGATATTCCACTATGACTAACTCTGGGGCACTNAAAAATATATATATATATATATTTGGGAAATTATGAAATATTTCCTCATAATTTTGGAAATTTGTAAAAATAGGATTTTATTTTGATATAGGATATATATTTTGGTATCAAATAGGAATTTCTATAGAATTTTTACTATTTCTAAAACACAAAAAATATGTTTTTTCATGGAGTTTTAGTTTTAAAACTATAAATTAAAAACATCACTGTCTGTTTTGCACTAAAATAATTTGTGAAGGGTTTATTTTAACAATAAAAAACTTTATGAAGGGTTCGTTAATGTGCCAAACTAACCAGAATTTCTGGCGAAATAAGCAGAATAGCTACAGTTTTTACAGCACACAAAAAAAGGACATCTTGCATAAGTTTTGATCTAATGATCAGATGTTCACATTCTAGGGCTCAAACTAGGACTGGTTCATGTGGCTAATTAATCATCAAGTAAGCTAATTAATTAGTGCAGGCAATATTTTATTTTAACTATCCTCTAACTCTCTCCATATTGTTTTTTTTTTCCTTTTTTTAGGAGGATAAAAAAAACAGATTTGAATTAATGACCTTCAAAACTGGAGGGGGGGGGATATCTGTAATTTGCAAAATATGGACCCAATAGTTTAGTCAGAGAAGCAGTCTAAAGTTTGAACCTCTTAATGTTAATTTTTTTGGTGTGCATATTTTACAATATCTCAAGAGCTTTTAAGGAGAATCAAAAAATTTTTTATACACAATCATTTAATTTATTTATCCAAATTGTATAATTGTGAGTACCAAATTTTGAATAGTTAGGTACAAATTTTTTTAAAGAATGTAATTCTGTATGGTAAAATACAAAATCTGTCAAATAGTTTCTATAAAATTGAATTTTAAATACAGTGGAACTCCAGGTTTACTTTCCCCATTTCACATGTTATCCCACTTCCTTTATTATTTTCTGCTGGTCCGTGAAAATTGCCTGTACCAATAATGTTAAATTAACTCATATTTTACGTTACACTTTTTAAGAAAATCCTGCTTTATAAGTTTTTCCAACAGATCAAAATTATTTTTTTTTACAAAGTTTGCCCTTTTTCTGAGTTTTCTTTTCCAAGAAATAAAAAAGAGACTTGTTTTTTGTAGCTTTTCTGACATTTTTTCTATTCTATTTTATTGTTTTTTGTCTGTGAGAGTAGAAAGGAAGTAAGGGAGCTTAATTGTAATATTTGGGAGTGGAATTTTTTTTAGCACAATTCAATCTTAAAATATTGTTATTATCCAATCATTTAAAGAAGGTTACATTAAACAACTGGTTAGGTAATCATTTCTTTTTCTTGATTCCGATAATCTGCAAGATGCTTCTAAAGCAAAAATAAACAGTCAGGGAGCTCTGAATTTGATATCCACAACATTGGACAGTGTCGACTCAAATGCATTGAAAGCTTCTCGTTATAAGATGGGAACATTGGCCTGTCGGAAATAAATTACATGTCTGAAGATCTTCCAAAGTGGATGATGCGCATATAAACTGTAACACACATCATATTCATTTTTAATTCTTTCAATATCTGATTTGATACTTGCTCCCGATGATAGTGATGAAAACAATGACGCTGAGTTAAAAATATCAGAGGATATATCTACAACTGATCTAGAGTTTGAAAGCATAAAAACTCTGAAACATTTGCAAATGTAAACCATAAAACAAACAATAGTAAGTGTTAAGAGCAATATTGTTGAAATTGTGTCCAAAAAAAAATGTAAATATTACACACTTTTCAAGTAGTTCATCTTGTAAACGTTAATTTTTGAAAAATATACACAAATTTTTTCTCCCCGATTTTACGTTTACCCGTTTTGTGTGTGTTGAAAACCTAAAATCAGGTTTCCACTGTATATGACTTTTTTAAAATTTGATTCCTCAGGAACTATTCAACTGATTTGTTAAAGTTTTTTCCCCCCTTCCACTAAGCGGTTCAAAGTAGTAAAACTATATTTTTTAGATTGCGACTTCCTGTTCCAGATTTTGAGGGTCAGGAATCTAAATCATTCAAATTAAAAATATGTTTATTCAGAGAAACTATGCTATCGTGACTGATTGATATAACTTAAAGTATTGTTTGAGCTAAATAATTATCATAGTTGAGGTCATCCCTGTAAACAATTCAGATTGAGCGCTAGAAAATGCAATGAAAAGTTATTCAAGATATTCGTTATTTTTTCTTTCTCGCATTGTATATAAAACTAAAGACAAAAGGGTTAACTGCATAGAGGCTCACCATTTCAAAGAGTCTGTGCATGATTAATAAAATAAGGCACACCACAATTTCTAATTTGAAATTTTAAAAGTATAAATTTTTAATGTGATTAAAATACTAAATTTTAATTGTTTAAGTTTACTATAATTAACCTTTTAAGATAATTGACCCAAGACATTGATACAAATGACAGAAATATTATCGATATTTTTCTTAGCTGAATGCAGCTTTTTAATTACAACTGCTCACTTTTCCATAACCACTTCATTATTTTTAATCTTTGGTTTAGCATTAGAAATCACAAACAAGCATTTTTGCACGATTTTCTGTCTTTAACCACATTTACTGATGGTTATAATGATGTATCATGCACAAAGAGACATTTCCTTAAATTATTCCCTTAATATTTTTACTTCAATAAGCACTTAAATTTGAATTATCTATATTTTTAAACCTACTATTTTAGCAAAGAAAGGCACAAAAGTAATTGTTAACTAATCGATTAAATATAATAATTATTTCTCCTCTATTTATATTTTATGATTATTGTTAAACTTATCTTTTTTTTGAGAAAGGGTCTGGTTGATATTTTTACTTCAATAAGTACTTCCATTCAATATCCCCTTTTATTTTTATACCTACTATTTTAGCAAANAAAAAAAAAAAAAAAAAAAAAAAAAAAAAAAAAAAAAAAAAAAAAAAAGGTAATTAACCAAGTAAAAATATTATTATTCCTCTATTTATATTTTATCATTATTATTAAATTTGTTTTTTTTTGTTTTGTTTGAGGAAGGGTCTGATTGCAAAGTTGCCCAGCATATAAGTCTTATGTTCTGTTTCGATACCACAGAATAGTGGGATATAAGTTTCATGGGAAATCCTAAACATGATATGTCCCAGCAGATGAAGAAAATTATCAACTCAAATACCATGAAAATTGTAAGTTATTACCCAAACGATTTTACAATAAAAAAAAAACATTTAATATTATTTTTTAAATTCTGCATATAAAATAAAATAATATAACAGGAGATGGAAAGTACATATTACATAAAAATTAAATTTTACTTCCATTTTAAGTTACTTTTGACATGTTTTTTAAAAATTTTTTTTATCATTATTTTCCATGGTGAAACAGCATAAAAAAGTAGTTTTAAGCCGAAAACCCAAAACACGTGTAGTTTACTGTATATATATATATATATATATATATAGAAAAAAACCTTACTTCACATTTTATGTCTTCAATAGTTTCATCCAAGAGACCAAATGAATTGATATTATCACTTGAAACAGAACATCTGCGATAGATGACATCGTGCAAATCTTCCATCAAGTCTAGATCAATCTTTTGCAATGCAGGACTATTTCTGCCAGCTTCAAGTGATTCTTCTGATGGCAAAGATATTTCATCCACGGTCAACATTTTATAACGACGGATACTAAAATTAAGACAAGACATAAAGCATTTTTTTAAAAAATTAAATTCAAACAATTCTACATTAACAGAAAAACAAAACTGAAATAGTACAAGGGTAGTCCAAATAAAAAGTGAACAAGTGGGAATGACTATTATAAGAAAAATACATAACAATAGCAGAGTCACAATTCAGTGTCATAAAGGAAGGTAAAGGGAGTGCACGGCAGATTGCTAGTAACTGATTAACCACTTCAGATAAGAGCATTTAAAGTGAATGTAAAGTTGAGCTAAGAAGGATGCTTTTGGAGAAGAGTAAAACAAAGTAGTTAGACTTTTAGTGACAGAAGATGATTGCATCATCCTTTTCATTCATCTCAGTTAAAATGCCATACAGATGTTAAAAGATATAACTCTTCGATCATTTATAGTAATTTCAGGAACAGCAGCAATGAATGATTTCATACAAACTTGCTAATAAGTTACACAAACTAACTGTTCTTTCCTTAATTTATAACCCTAAAGGATCACACTGCGATTTGTATTTTTCTACTGCTACTATATCATGTGTACACACTTTTTGTTTGGGCAACCATTATATATTTAGTTTCATGAACAGGGTGTGCAGCCAAATCTCTCAACAAAAAATAAGCACCTTTAAAGTACTTTTTAAGCACTCAAAAAATATTTTTAAGCACTATATACATTAACAAAATAGTTTACAAAAACTTTACATGATCATGATAAAATAACTATATCTAGTTTCCGACAAAGAATTCTTTTTTTGATTGTATTAGCCACAATAAAAAAAAATCGAGATTTTTTGGTTCAATTTCAGAGGGTGAAAAATGAAGTTTGAAATTGAGAATATCTTGGAAAATGCAGAAGAGTTGCACATGAGAGTGCAAGAATCTCACCGAACCCAGCTCAGTAGATGCGGACACCCAAGTATTTCTTCAAACAAGTAACATGATTAGGGTGCTATCATACGTTGCGGGCCGACGGTACGCTAAAATGGATTGTGGTTGAATGATTTGTGAAAACGTTGCATTGAACAAAGTGAAAATCACGCTTTTGCATAATACACAGCGAAAGTTGACACAGTAAAGGAAAAAATCTCATTTTCAAAAAGGAAAAATTAAGCACTTTTTAAAAACACTCCATGAAAAAAGTACTTTTAAGGGCTTTTAAAAACCGAAAATAAAAAAGATGCACCTTTTAGCACTTTTTAAAAACGCTATGCACCATGATGCAGAAGTTGAGAAACATTAACTGACTTTTTAATAAATTTATATTTTTCAATATTAATCTTGTATGAATTTTTAATCAATGTTAATAAGATATATATATATTTTTGATAGATTTTGACTCATAAACCTTAAAACATGAATGATTTTTTGCTCTGTTGATTAGTTTAGACATGTTCGAAGTCAAACTTGAACAGAGATAAATCAAGACATGCCATTGAAGTTTTAGAAAAAAGGATTAGCTGTGTGTAGTAAGAAAAATTTCAAAATATGTTTTCAAAGCTGCAAATTAAAACTTAATGCAAGAAAAAGACATATATATATAATTAATAAAATATAAAACAAAATGCTTCTGTTAATTGATTCAAAATGCTATCAGTTATCAAATTCAAATTTGGAATCTATTCTTTCTAAAAGCCAATCAGAAAATTTGATATTTTGTTTAAAATTATAAATAAATTAAACATTGAATCAGAATTCAATATTTTTATTTAATGTGTCACTAAATTTTTAATGTGATTAAATATTCGATGAAAAAAGCAAGCATCAAGCAAGATTTGATAATCTTCAGCTTCTAAAAAGAGTAAATAAGTTTATGACCCCCAATTTACTCTAATAAAATTTCCTGACAGAAAAATTTAATAAACTTTTTTTTCCTTCATGATATTCATAAAAGTTTTAAAAATTTTGCAGCAACAAATCGGGTAGAATAAATAAGGTATTTCAATCCCCTAGTACAAAACAGCATATCAAATTTTCGAAATTTTAAAATTGTCAATTAAATCAAATTAGGTATAAAAAGTGGAATTTTGCAAATCTTCAGAAAAAATGGCAGATCTATAAATATGATATAAAAAATATAAAAATGCATGATTAATAAAAATAAATTTATAAGTAATGAAAATATTATATACCCAGTGACAGCATCAGCCAAATTCATACCATCCAGTACACCAGATTTTAGTTGATCAGCATGGTTATAAGAGATGTGCTGTAACATTTGTAGAATGCAAAATATAAATATTGCTCAAACACAACTGACAAACAACACTATTTTAGTCATAAATATTAGTCACACATTAAAAAATTTCCATTTCGGATAAGAAATTTTTTTAAATAAAATTTTAAAATCCTTTAAATTTCTATTAAGTACATAACAGAATAAACTTATGTATTGTAACATATGTGTTGTATGCACTTAGTTATCTCTTTATACATAATTTTCAGATATTTTCACTTTTATAAGGCAATATTCATGGATATTTCGGGTATTATTGTTATTATTTTTTTTTAATATTTGTGATTCTTTTTTTCTATTTAAAATATTTTTGTTATGAATTTCGAATCATATTTTTCATTTTTATTTTACTCGTGAATTAGTTGCTCGGTTTTCCTTTATAAATTAGAGAAAATTTTGTTCCGAATTTAAAAATTTTAAATATCTTTCAATAATAAGTATTTATACTTAACAGAGTTTTTCAAGATATAAGAATTAGTTTTCAAACAGGCAATCTTTTAAATTTAGGAAAATCAAAAACGTTTGATAATAAACACAATTTTGATGTTCTTGAAAATTGTAACTAGAAATTAATACATTTTATTTTTGTCAAGTATTTATGGACATTTATTTTTTACATAAATTATGTATTTATTTTAATTATTGACTTAATATTTCAATGAAAATTTAAATAGAAGTTTTGATTTATAATTAAAGCAAGCTTTCCAAACTTTAAAGGGCTTTTTTTTATCAATATTTAATTATCAGGGTGCGTAGGAAAATTATTCAACAAAATATAAGCACTCTTCAAGCACTCAAAAAATTTTTTTAAGCACTTTAAAAAAATATCATAATTTGGCAGGGTTGGAAAGTTTTTGACAGTTCGCGGTTTTAACCCTTATGTCAAAAAAAAGAAAACTTTTGGTATTGTTTTTGACAATTGTCAAAAATCATGAAAGTTCGAATCATGCAAAATGAATGGCGTTTTCATACGCTACGGACTGACAATACATCCAAATAAATCAATAGATTGGGGTTGACTGAATTGAGAAAAAGTTGAATAAAACAATGTGAACTGTGTCTTTTTGCATAATTCGAAGCGAAAATCAACATGGTAAAGAAAAAATCTCATTTTGAAAGAGGGAATATTAAGCACTTTCTAAAAACACCCAATAAAAAAAAAGCACCTTTAAGGGCTTTTAAGAAACGAAAATCGAAAATAAGCACCTTTAAGCACTTTTTAAAAATGCTACGCACCCTGATTATATTAAGGTCATTTTTTGATGAATTTTAGAAGCTTTTTCTGCATTTAAAGACATTTTTTTTAAAAAGAATTTTTAAGTTATCAATATTTTAGACTTGATAACAAATGTCACAAAATCCTCGTTACATTTTTTTGTCATGCAATTAAATTTGTTTATTGCCACACTTGATTTAAGAAGAAAATTTTTACTCAATGGTTGGTCTAACACCAAAAACCTAATGGACTTTCAAATAAAAATCAAGGACTTTTTCAAAATTTTTAAGAAAAATTTGCAATTCTCTTAAAAATAATGATATAAAAAAAAACAGTTCAGTGTACAATTAAGATATATAAATCAATAATTTTCAATCAGAAATAACTGTTATCTAGAAATTTTGAAAATAATTTTAATTTATAACCAAACTTATCTCAGTTTGTTATAACTTTTAATTTATAACAAATTATTTTGTGTGTAATTAAAAAAAAATATTTTAATTATTTTGTTTTTTATTTTTGAGTTTCCCCAAACTTCATTTAATTTATTAAAAAATTGCAGTTTTAAACTTTTCTAAAAGCGAAAAATAATCACTTTGGCTCAAACGTTAGTACTACACCCACAACACACGTTACTGGTCTTGTAAACAATTGATTTCAAAATACTGACAGCAGTAAATGCACGAATCATGAATAATATTTACTTTGATGATGATAAAGCTCAAACTTAGGGGAAAAATGACTGATTTACGAGTACTTGAAATAGTTTCTAGTACGTCTAGGAGCCCTGTGCTATTACGAGTAAAACTCAAATGAAATGCAGAATTTAACACAACTGCTTTACAAATTTTCAAAATTAAAGGGGAAGTGAAATCAATAAATGTATAAGTTACTTTCTAGTTCATTCTACAGGAATTAAAGCTGGTTCATAAAAGTACAAAATTTTTAGTTATTTCTTAACAATTTTTAGCAGAGCTAGGTTTAACAAACAAATTGCCTTGGTACTTAATATCTCCTTATAAACAAGTTCTCCTCTAAGAGTTATTTGCTCTTTTTTCTTTTAGCAGTTGATCAGACATGTGATTACAGGAAGAAATTATCTGAAATTTTTTTCTCAATACATTCTTAGAGCAAAGGAAAAAAAAGGGAAGAAATTTGCCACCTTTTCTTATCAGTGTCTGATCAATAACTTTTATGATTAATTTAAATCAAACTATGAAAACATGCTTTTTTTTCAATTAAATGTTAGTTCCGCTGAAACCAAATTTGACTACGCAATTTTACAGCACTTTGCTCATTTGAAATAATCCATTATAAATCTTAGTCCACAAAATCTATTAATAAGTTTTATTGATAAGATTTTCAAACTGTAATTAATAAAGATTTGAAACAAATTATGTGAAAAATATTTAAATTACAAGTTAAAATCCAGATCAATGAAAAACTAGATATTTTAATAATACATTTTTCCTCAATAGATAAAGAAATTTAGAAAATCAACTTAAATATAATAATAAAATTTGCACTGTTAAAAACAAATGAAAATAAATTATATAGATGATTTTATTCTTATTAAAATAGACAATTAAATAAATTAATTGATTATAATTCATAAGAAGAAAAAATAGATCATAAATCAAACCTATTTAAAAAAATTGATTGAAATGAAATGTCATTTAAAACTTGGTCACAAAAATGTTTTTTTAAAAATAATGTATACCTTATTTTTACTTCGGGCTTTTGGAAATCGATTTGCTCTAATTGAAGTAGGGCTCGATGGAGCACTTTTAGGTTTCTCCAAATAGCTATCAAAAGTCAAATCAGGTTGGCTAGGATGCTAAAGGGAATGTATTAAGTAGTTTAGGAGTTATGATTATTGTTTTAGTCACAAACCATATTATTGGATATAAGCAACACTCAATCAAAAATACTTGCAAAAAAAAACATTACATTGCATAACATAATTAGATAATACAAATGTTAAAAAAATTACATTATAATACTTATATTATTGGATGCATATAAGCGATGAAAACAAACAAATAAATGCAAAAAATAATAATGATAATAAAAAATCTAACTTTTTGAATATCTTGAATTTTGGATCGAATATCCTTGTATGCTCGTTTTCCCTTGTCTTTCACCTGAAATTATTTTTCAATAATTAGACCAATTATTCTAATACTAGTGAAATATTTTACAAATAAATAAAAGAGGTTGTTTGTAATGGTTGATTTGGATTACTTTGAATACCAAATTTGTTGACACAAAAAACAAAAATGGCAATACCGTGCCAACCACAAACAATTTAATTACATAATGAAGGTAATAAAATCAAACAATGTTACTCACTTTAACAGTCTGACGTGAAAACTTAAAAAATACGAAATATAAGAAAGATCATAGTTGAATTTTGGTTCTATATTTTTGGGAAGAATGTAAGCTATTTAATATGGAAATCCTGGTTAGTAATTGCTAAAAGAAATATGCATTAAGTAGTATCATGCAATTTGGTTAAATTTTAAGAAGAATTAAACCAATTGCACTATAATACTCATATTGTACATCCTTTTTCTACCCAATTATTATATAAGTCAAAAAAGAAAGGGGTAATTGGTACAAGAGTTGAATAAATAGATTTAATCTCAGTTGTTAAAATAATGTATGACAGTAGAAATATCGTAATATGATTTAAATATTTTAAAAAACGTCAGAATCACTGAATTAGTAAAAATGAAAAAAAGACTTAAATAATACACATAAAAAATTTGAAATCATAAAAAAAATTAAATATAATTATATTTATTTCTATTTTTTTGAAAGTACACACTCTTCCATTATTTAAAAACTGTGGCAATGAAGTGGATTAATTTTCCTTATTACATAAATTATTTTTCAAGAAACTTATGCAAACCTTTTATCTTTGATACGTATACATGTTCTTAATAATATGCAGTGAAAATAATGCTATACATTTTTCTACAAAAACTGTATTAAGATACACAATTTTATTTAATATAACTCTGATAAGTGAGTTCATACTTTGTTTTTAATGTCTAAATGCAATAGTAAAATAAACTTCAATATGAAAGATTTGTTGACTCAAATATCTGTAGCTGGATAAAGAGTTTAACATCCAGCTACAGATATTTGACTTTACAAGTTTGATTGCATTAATACAAATAATTAAAAAATACAAAGTTTGATTAAAGATATAACATAACATATTACGTAGAAATTAGTTATTAAAAAAAAACGATTTTAAAAGTGAAATAAAATATGTACAGATGATAGACTTACAGATTTATAAGCATGCTTTACTGCAGGATTTGTCTAAATGCAAAACAAAGAAAATAAAATGTAATTAAAAATATTTATTCAATATCTAAAACTCAAATAAATGAAATAAAAATGACAAAATAATAATAAAACAAAAATGATTTACAAATCAAAATAACTTATAAATCAACATAACAGTAAAAAAAAAGAAAATAACATGAGTTATAAAAAAAATGATATTTAATATCGCAAGACATGGAACATCTTATGAAGGAGAAGAAAGCTTTCCTTTTCTTAAAAATGTGTTTAGAAGATTTTTTTACATTAATAAATGAACCATTCAAATCAATTAAAGCACTGATAACATTATTTAATGATAAACATGTTATTAAAATTTGTATTTTTCAAACACTGTTATTGATTAAAACTTTTTACAATTGTCAAAGCACAATGTTTAATTTAATGGTTTTATTCAAATACCATAGTAAGAACCCCCATAACCTTAGACACAAGGGTATATCAGAAAATGCATCTGATAATTGGGGGACCTTTTTTAAGTGTAGAAACATTACAATGTAGGTTAATTTACTAAAAAACAATAACGTTTTACACAATAATGTAGTTTTTATACAATATCATGAAAACATATCATAGATACAATATTGTTTTCTGTTTTATTGTAGTTTTCCTAGAGACACATTTTAGAATCATCATCATAAGGGATCGTAATAATGGGAACAACTGCTGTAATATTGATGAAGTATGCACCACAAGCATGGTAGAAGGGGTGAATAACTAAAGAGCCATATAATTGATTACTCTCAAAATATAAGTTTAGCTGCAATCTGGAAAATATATATTCAATAGTTTTGGTAACAGAGCAGAAAAATTTTTTATATCTCAATGTTTAATTTGATTTTTCTTCAAAATTTTGGAACCAACGAATTGAATCAAAATTTTTTTCCGCACAATTATAAAATGTGTTTATCCAAAGATAAAAAAAATTTTTTTACAAAAATTTATAATCTATAATTATTTAATTTACTAATTTTATTAAAAAAAATGCATATAAAATTTTTTAATATTTGAACATTTCAATTTTAATATTGGAATAGTTCATAAAAAATACTCACTTTACTTTTAACATTCTTCAAAAAAGCTCCACCCTCTTTCTAGAATAATTATAATAAAATAATTAGATCATTAAAACAATATAAATTAAATAATAATGTTATTCAGAATTTAGCATCTATTCCTATAAAAACTTAACTCTCTAACCTTGCTTTATTTATATTACAGGCAATGTATGAAATGTCAGCGAAAATTCCTTTTAGAATCATCAATTGGAATTAATTATTTAATTAATTCATCTATTGGTATCNAAATAGGTTGTTATATTGATGAAGGATGCATCACAAGCACGGTATAAGATGTGAATAATAGAGAGAGTCATATTATTGATTACTCTCAAAATATAAGTTTAGCTGCAATCTGGAAAATATATACTCAATAGTTTAGGTAATAAAGCAGAAAAAATTTGGATATCTCAATGTTTAATCTGATTTTTCTTTAGAACTTTGGAACCAAAGAACCGAATCAAAATTTCCCCCCGCACAATTATAAAACGTGTTTATCCAGAGATAAAAAGTAAAAAGTTATTTTTTACAAAAATTTATAATCTATAATTATTTAATTTACTAATTTTTTAAAAAAAATCCATTTAAAATTTGTTAATATTTGAACATTTCAATATTAATATTTGAATATTTCATAAAAAGTACTCACTTTACTTTTAACATTCTTCAAAAAAGCTCCACCCTCTTTCTAGAAGAATTATAATAAAATAATTAGATCATTAAAACAATATAAATTAAATAATAATGTTATTCAGAATTTAGCATCTATTTCTATAAAAACTTAACTCTCTAACCTTGCTTTATTTATATTACAGGCAATGTACGAAATGTTAGCAAAAATTCATTTTAGACTCATCAATTGTAATCGATTATTTGATCAATTCATCTATTGGCATCAATTAATTAATCAATTTAGAATTAACTATTAGAATAAATTAATTTTTCACTGAAACACACAAATTGTAATATAAGTGGCCAATTTTTATCTATTTTTTTAAAAAAAATTTCCAATTACTAAAAACAATAGTGCCATACTATCCTAATAGCCGTACAATCATTCCACACTTTGCTGGCCGACTTTAAGCATTGCATGCAGTGCAGGATTTCAAGCTTCACTAGTAAAATATAAATTCTTTTTTTCTTAATAGGTGATGAATTGGTGGATGATAAATTATACTAGAGAAATTTTTTTCCCCCTGTTGCATGAGATTCGTTTTTAACAGATCTTGGGTATTTTTATGTCGCTGATTTCAATTTATTTTCCAAGCTACAGTGCTTTGTAAAACGACCTTTAGTCTATTTTTTTGTCAAAATGTACAAGTTTAAAAACCTTATATATAACAGGGGGTTGAATAAATGTAGCGAGAAACTTCTAGGGGAGTTAGGGCACATCATTAGGATTAAAATTGAATAGGAACTCATACTTGGAAATGTGCAGTTAGGGGCCCTTTCCTATTAGGAGTTGTTTCATGTATTTCTGAACAGGTTTTTCAAATGAGGATGCACCCGTATATGTGTATAACGACATTTCCAGGCATTGGTTCCTATGCAATTTTAATCCCGATGATGTGCCCTAACTGCCCTTGAAGTTTGTCACAACATGTACGCAGCCTCTGTAATATAATGCTTTTAAATTTGCACATTTTGACACTAAATAGACTAAAAATATCCTTGTAAAAAAATCTGTAGCTTTAGGAGCAAAACTAATTTCAGATTTGAAATTCCCACACCTCAATCAGGCAAGATCAAGTACTTTTATAAATGTATCAAATTTTTTTTCCCTAGTGTTATTTCTCATGAAAAGAAAATAGTTTTCCAGCAGATGTTAAATGATATATAAAATAAAAGTAATACAGTCGAACTCGTATATAACGAGCACAAAGGGACCGTAGCATTGTACTCGTTAAATCCGAGTGCTCGTAATAAACAGGTTCTTAAGGCAGGCGTGCAACCAGAAAAGGAGGAGGGGGGGCTTGGGAGGTCAAATGATTGAGTTACTTAACATTTAATTAATACTTACTTACTTTAATTACATTAATTAATTTAATTAAATAATTTTCTTAATTTAATGACAACTTGCTCCCCCTCAACCAGCAAAAATTTTCTAGTTGCGCTACAGTCTTAAAGGACAATTAAGTTTCATTTCGCGTTTTTATTTTTATTTTGCGCGCATTGTCTTTTCTTATCATTTTGAAAAAAAGATAAGACAGAAAGACTAAAAAGATGAGAAAAAAGATTGAAAGACAGAAAAATATTGCTCGCTAAAACCGGGTCTTGTTCTTTAAAAGCGACTTCTGTTCCATAGACTTAACATTGATCAAACCAAATATTCTCGTTTCCCTCGTTAAATCTGAGCTCGTTATAAACGAGTTCGACTGTAGTATAAATGTATAAAAGGTACAAGTTATAAAAAAAAGGAAATTGACACATATTTAAAACATTTTAAGCACAAATATCCATACATACTTTCATTGTAGCCATCCACTCCTTGTATTGCATTTTAAGATTATTATTTGAGTTCACTTCATAAGAATTAACTTCAAACTCAAATTCATCACTAAAACCAATCCCTGAGTTCAGCATGTCCAGTCGATTTTCAATGAACTAAAAAAATGGCATATTAAAAGATTATAAAAATAGAAGATGTTATTCAATTAAATAGAAGATATTAAAAGGAAAAAGGTAAATATTTTTTTATAATTAAATTTAATTGAAAACAATACCAATACATATCTCACAGTCACAATTGCAAATTTTGCAAAAATTTCTAGGATAATGGAAAATATATTATACATATTATAGTATACATTATTCATACAAAATAATTATATATATTATAATGGAAAATATGGTAGTTGGTGTAGATGACTAATTGAAGTATATGATGAAGAAGGATAATAATCATTATGAAACTTTTATTCAGTAGCTGTTGTAGAGCTTGAGATACAAAATTAAAAGGATATTTTATCGAAATGACTTTCTAAGTAAAATAATAAATTTTGCATATTCATATTAATGGGGACCGGCTTCAGGATATAAATTCCCCACCATCTGCCTGATCATAAGCCAATTCAAAAATAAGCATTTAATCAATGGTTTAGAAATACAAGAGAGATGCATTATAGGCATGTTCTTGTAAAAGAACACTGCCAAAAGTCAAGCCAATTCAGCCAACCTCCCAATATCTAATTTTTAGCATTTAAATAATTTAGATTTAAGTTAAAAAAAAGTTCATTAGAAATTAAAGTAAACTAAATAATGTACATGCTAATGTTTAATATGATTGAAGAAACAAAGGTTGCTTAAAAATAAATTTTGATATTTATTTGATGTAACATTGAATGATAATTAGCTATACATTTGCAATGAAATAAAAAGTTAGCCATAAAATTTTTTAAGAACAGAAATATTTGCATTCACTCTATATGAAATTGAATTGATTTATTTATTTAAAGATTACTTATTTATTTAGTTAAAAATAAATTCATGAAATAAAGAAAACTTAAAAGGAAAGAAATGTGAAAAGCCTATGTAATTACATTACACACATAATACCACAAAAGTTTCTTAAAAATCTGTTGAACTGTTAATTGCCCATTCATTTTCAATAACAGTACATTTTTAAATGTTCCTTTTATCCAAAGGAAAAAAGACCGAAGTTATTTGGTTATTTTTTAGAAAGAGAAGTGTAATAGGTTTTTCTTAGAATAGAAACAGAGACATAATTGTTTTTATGTTAAATAATATGCTGTTTGATATAGGCCAAGATTAAGAAATTTCTTTTAGTGGCTAGTAGGAACATTTTAATCAATGGCCACTTTATCATAAATTTTAAACAATAAAATGTTTTTTTTTTTGAATTGCTTAACATTTTTAATAGTTGATAGTTAACGTGAAACATTTCTAATAATATGAATAATGTAAGGAGTTTCTTTTGAAGCCTTTCTCAAAATATGATAAACATAACAAAATAAATTCCTAAAAAGAAGAAAAATTTTAAGAAATAAGTATTGAAATAATGTATTTTTTATAATACTATAAACTATTTATAATAATTAAATTTTTATTAAAAAAATAATAAATTGCACATGCGGATCAATTTCAACGAAAAAATTGGTGATAAAAAGACAATTGCCAAACAATATTTTAACCACCATATGTTATATTAAAGCCCTGTGGCTGGATGTGGCCTTAAATTTTCCCCAATACAGTTTGATAATCCTCAAACACCTATTTATCGTAAATAAATAATCCCGAGAAACTGAAGGGGATTATTTAAGATATATAGGTGTACATTACCTGATTAAAAAACATAATTGACTTTAAAAATATACAGATGGTTACAAAAGTCGACATGTTTCAAGCGCTTAAAAATAGGTTGGTTGTTACTGAAAAATTGAAAGCAAATGCTAGATTCAAAATTAGAAAAAACCGCAGTAGCCAAGAGTGAAGCAAAAATAAATACTTCAGTTTTTCTAATTTTGATTCTCACCTTTACTTTCCATTTTTCATTGGCAACTTTACGTTTTATATTTAAAATCATTCTAGTTTCTTTTCATTCAAGCCTGGCACGTCTTGAAAATAGACGACTATTTTTAAGCGCTTGAACCATACATACTTTTATTTTCATCTGTACATTTTTTAAAGCAATGAAACATTTACAATTAAGTAATACCTATTGATCCTACCTGTTGAAAGATTTGCAAATGTAGCATAGTTTCAAGAAAAGGCTGAACTGATGATGAGCGAGTTTGGATAAATGCATCCGCATCAAAAGTAATCTTTTTGCCAATCTCCATCTTCAAAGAGTCCCTGTAACCACCAATCAATTTGACTAAGGCTCTCATGAAAGCTCTAGAAACTCCATCCCCGAGCATCATGTTCGGATTTTTCAAACTTCTCTTCAAAGAAGAAACCTAATAAATACGTAAATAAAGAGCAAAGTTAGGATTTTGCAGATTAAGGAATTTTCAGTTGCTTTTTCCTTTAAGAGGACGCCCAAAAACGGGAGAAACTTTTCGTTGCTAATTTTCTTTCCAGGAGTGATTGTGACAGGAAGTGAAAAACCCTGAAAATTTCATGAGCAAATTTTATGATGTAATATTTTTAATTGCCTGAATACGATTCACAATGAAAGATTTAAATCAAGAAAATACGAAAATGGATTTTTGATATTAAAATGATCGCGTGGTTATGAATCCCGATATTAGTTTTAAATAATAAAAGCGATTAAAATCCGATACACCAAAAAAATCAAAATTGCAGAAGAGTAACTTGTTTTGTTAACAAGATTTAGCGAAAGTTTCAAAATGTAAACTTTAGAACCTAATTCAATAATTTTTTGATTGTGGTGAAAATTTCGATGGATTGTAAGTCTTGATTCGCGAAAGTTCATCAATCAATAGTTTTGAGATACGTGGAATTTCGTAAAAAATCACATGCCCTGCTCCTAGTTTCTAGATCTGGACAGGCGATACGAAAAACCTGGAATTCTGGGGTACACCCGGAATACAATCACACCTGTCTTTCACCTCCATTAAAAAACAAAATGTGATATCAGGCAAACCTAGAGTAAGCCATTAAGTTTCTGTTGCTGAAAAAAAAAAATCCAAATATAAAGATACAAAGAAATTATTGGAAGTGAACATCTCCATTATGTAATCTTAAGTTATTGTCACATAATTTATTTTCATTTTGATATTTTAAAAATTTCTTTTCAGTATTTGAAACTTCATGGCTTACTCTAAGTTTGTTTGAATTCACTTTTTCAATACTTTAAATTTTAAATTAGTTACGGAGGTGAAAGAATTTGCAATGAAAAGTTTCCTCCCGTGGTATGGCTTCCTCTTGAAGGTATCATTTATAATTTTTTAGTTATCTTCAACTACTTTTCGATCCTTTTCTTTTTTTAGCCAATTTTTACCAAGTTCAATTGATATTATTAGTTTTATGAACATTTTGCTGGTGGATTAGATTTTTCTTTATAAATTAATATACATTTTTCACTAAATCTTGTATTTTAAAAAGTCCGAATAACAAGTTTTCATACTAATCAGAGTTTTGAGTTTTTTAAGACCTAAGCAAGATCTTGAACAGCATGCCTTCTTTTAATTTTAAAAACATCAGAAAACATTTGATAATACACAATTCTGACATCACTGAAGATTGTAACAAAAGACTAATATATTCTTATATATCGATATTTACTTATTTAAAAATTACACATTTAATTTATTTACTACCTTAATTTTTTATCAAATTTATAAATGCAGGTTACAATTTGTAATACTTTTGTTTAAAAAAAAGGCTAATATAAAACATGAAAATATAATCTGATATATTTTTCCTTTTAAGTTAAATTTCACGGCTTTTAGAGTCTTTCTTTTAATTTTTTTTAAACATTTTTAAGGACACTTTTCATGAAATTTTAGCTTGTCAATAACCTAGCCCTGATAACAAGAACAATTATTCATGAAATATTTTAAAAATCTAAAATTTCAAGAAATAAATTGTCACAAAATGAACCAAGTTAAAAGCTTATTAACATTTTTAGCAATATTATTAAAAGAAAATAAAATTATTTCATATTATTTGTCATAGAAACATCCTTAACATTTAGAATTTTTGGTTAATTTCATTTTAAGTTCATAAAATTTCTACAATATAAGGTACAAATAAACAAATACAAAAATATACTATTAAAAATTTATAAGGAAGAAATAACATTCATTTCATCGACTACCATACTAACAAGTTTTGCAAAGTATATACAAAATATGCTGATAAAAATTCAAAAGAAAAAGTTAAACATTAATTTAATTCATTACAATACTCGTAAGAATCGAAAAGTAAATATAAAATATATTGATATGAATTTAAAAGAAAAAAATAATCATTTGTTTAATTAACTAAAACAATAGCAAGTATTGTGAAGTAAATACAAAATATATTGATAAAAATAAGAAAAATAAACATTCATTTCAATGATTACAATACTTGCAAGTGTTGATATCAATACTGATACATGCATGAACACAAATAGTAAGAGAGAAGAAACTTACTATTTCAGGGGGTAAAGTTTCCAGATCCTTAAAAGGTGTTTTGACTCTGTTATAATCAGCATCAAGAACAACAACTTCATTTAATTCACTCTGCTTAAATTCCTAAGAATGAATAAAATACATATAAATAAGAACACAAAAGAGAAAAAAGAAATGTATTTTTTTTTTAAACATAATAATATTTAACCACTAATCTCAGTTGGCTTAACCTCTTTAGACATGCGTCAAATTTTTTTTCTCAAAAAGAGACTTATAATACTATCTTTGAAGCAAGAGCAATTTATGTAATTTTATGTGTTTTATTTTTAATTTTTAACAATTAATGAACATTGCAAAATGTTCGAAGTATCTGTATCAAATTTGGAAAATGATTTAGTATTTTTTTAATTTAATTAAAAACTCAATTGTTTATATACAAATTTTCGATTAAAGTTTGAGTTTTATTAGGAAGTGAAGTCTTAGTAAATCATGGAAATATAATTGTCAGAATATAAAATATTATTCGTAAAACTTAATTGGCAGCAAAAAGTGGCTGGAAGGCAAAAATTCATAAATTGTCAAATGCAGAAAATGAAATTTCCTTTTTTAAATTTTATTTATAACATTAATAATGCAAAACTAAACTACTTTTAAAATTGATTCACTGAATACTATTTTACTTTTGTGTCCCAAAAATTTTAGTACTTATTGCAAAATAAAAATGTTATCCTAAGTTTAGTTTCATTTTATTTTATTTTTTTAACTGTTCTATAAACTAAGTGTATTAATTATTTTTTCTTAGTAATTGTTTCTTCTTTTCTTTTACTTTTTGAACATTCAATAAAAGAAATATAATGTTAATTTTATGCCATAAGAGTTGTGTCTGAATTTAACTAAATCCAAAATAAAACAATTACTGTGTTAAACAGAAAATTGATATGGATGTACAGCCAGCCTGTACAAATATTTTATACTACAGTTATGTATTTTAGTAAAAGAATAGATAGTTCTTTTTGTCTCATGCAATATCAATAATGCAAGTTAAAGCTTACAATTACATCTAGATACAAGATAAAATAACTTCTCTTTTAAATTGTTAGCTTGCTGAAAATTTATAAAACCCTAACTCAGTTATTTAGCAGTATAAAATAGTATGATCTTTACTTTTCTCTATAACTTTTTTTAATTATTATTCTAGAGGGTAGGTTTTCTGAATTTGGGCAACAGATCTAGTTTTAAACAGACAACTGGCAAATGACCGCTAAGCTTAAATTAGCACAAGTTGCCTAAAGGAAATTTAGTGCTTTTACTCAGAAAATATTTGACTGTTATTTCACAATTTTGGAAGATTTATTTAAAATATTGAGAAGTCTCTTAATTAAAATTAAGAGACTTCTCAATATTTTAAATAAATCTTATAATAATCTTTAAATAAATCTTATTTCTTATTTTAAATTGTTTAATTAAAGAAAAAAAAATGCAGAACATCACTTTGCTTTTGCAAATTTTCACTGCTTCATAAAAAAATCAAAATAGTTCTGCTACTAATCCTATTTAAAAATTTACAATTTTTTTAAATATTTTTTTTTATAAATCAAGCATAAAATATTAAATTTTGAGACAGTTTATAGCATTAAATTATAATAGCAGTTTTACTAACTTTAGAATGACTTTTAGTTATTATAACTTTTGAATCCAATGATAAATTTATAATTAATTTAATTTTCTTGCAATTAATGAAAAGATACGGAGAAATCTTCAGAGGAAAGCCTTGCTCCACATTGGGCTGTCTGGCCAACTATGGTGAGGAAGATGAATTAATTTAATAAAACAATTACAAAACTGTAATTGTAAAAGATCTAGTTCATTGGATCTGTTTACCCTAGTAGTTTCGTCTTAGAAGAAGATCTAATAGATCTAATATTTAAACTCATTACAAAATAGATGACGACGTATTTGACTAGTCAATTTCAAAATATTATGTTAAAACTTTTCTTAAACTTCATATAATAACAAGACACAGAATAAAAACAAATTCACAAATGTTAGTCGAGTTTTGATTAAGAAAAAATCTGCTAATCAAAATATTAATAACAAATTCAAAGAACCCAACAAAATTATTATTAAAATTATTAAAAAGTGAACTTACCATGTAAGTTGTATGTGGTACACCTATTAGATATGGCATTGGTGCACTAAAAATAATAAATAAGTAAGTATTTAATCAAGGTATGAAGTTAATTCTATAAAACTAAATTTAAATCAGTGTTAGGGTAAAACTAAACATTTGACTTACTAGGCTATATTTTTAAACTTCCATTAATCACCTAACTTATGCAAAATATTATTTTTAAATTATATGATAAAAATTTTGTAATTTTTAAAAATGTTAATAAGTTACAGTAATATTCTTAATTTTAAAAATTGATATTAGTTATAATGAATTTGAAAAATCGAATTAGTTATGATAAGTTAAGTCATCTAAATTTTTTAAAAAATTGAGTAAAAAAAAAATCACAGCTATTAAATTTTGAAGAAAAAAAAGAAAAAAACTAATAATTTATACATTGCATATTTTGATAGTGTGAGAACAATTTTCTACAAGCTTAAGTCGCAACTCATATAAAGCCTTGAAGTACTTTTTGCATTAGCTTTTGCAAATAAAAACACATCTCATTCTCAAAATTTTGAACCTCAAATGTTGTTCAAAAACAAACATTTTCACATATCTGCATTTTTCTTATTCTCAAACAAAATTTTCAACTATTATATGAATTATTTGACAATTATTATTATTGGCCAAATTATTTTACTTCTTATTTTTTGCACAGAGAGTGTTTTTAACAGCAATTATTATTTTTCTTAAATTAAATGTTAAACTACAAGTACTTTTAGTGCAATTTGTGCCCAATTTGCTGCTATTTTTATACCTTTGTACAACAAAATGAAAACCACAAATGCTATTAAAGCGGTTAAATTTTGAAGAAAGTCAGGTAAAAATTGAAAGTGTTATTGTGTCTGCTGCTTGTATATCTAAAAAAGTGTCAAACATTATTGGTTTTGTAACATTCGATTTCACGTTTCTTTTTTATTTATTTACTATTTAAAGTTTAATTCGAAATTTCTAAAATATTGTATGTTTACAAACATTACATGCCTAGTAGCAGAAAACCTCCAGCATGGCAGTGATTGCTACAGTTTATCACAGCATTCGCAGATCACTTTTCATCTCAGGCTATTAAAAAAAATATGGAAACGAACTGCTGAAACTTTTTTGAATTTTAAAAAATTTCCCTGAACTTATTTCAGTCAGAATTATAGAACTAAGTTGAGGGAACATTGCAATGAACAAAAAGTTAAAAAAAACTTTTTCTGTTATAATTTTAAACTCTTATACTGTATAAGGATTTAATCCACTTTTTAGTATCATTATTCATTTAGAATAAATTCAGGTAACGAAGTTTTTATGTATATCTTTTCAAATTTTGTTACATATCTGAATTTTTACCATAATAATCCTTGCCTAACTGCATTAAGGTAGCAGACTAAGTTGGAATTATGAAAATAGAGAACCAGGTTTACTGTATATTTTCTATTGCCGAGATATGTATACATAATAAATGAATAACATGTCATAATGTAACACATCTAATAATTATAAAATATAACAAAATCAAATCATTAACACACAAAAATATATGTTTACAATCATGTGATCTAAATATATTGTGCAATCTAAACTTCAACTGTTAAAATTTTCTTGTTTTGTGACAATCAGTTTTTCTCTTAAACAAGAAAGATTTTGATAACATATGAAGCATTTGGCTTCTAAGTCAGTTCAAATTACTTTTATTAATTTTTTTGATGTATTTTTGTATGAAGTCACCTCTCAGTTTGTCTATCACCAAAACATGTAACAATTTAAAAAAGAATAAATGTGTTTGATTAAATATATATATATATATTTAAGTATAACTATATATATATATAAAGTGTATATATATATGGGTCATTCTCACGAAAACAGTCATTTTTCAGTTCATAAAATCCCAACTTTTCCTTCAGTTCATAAAATCCCAACATCCTGAAACTTTTTATATTAATAGAAATATGTAATGACATTATAAAGAAAGTATATATCCTATAAATTATACTTAATATTTAAATAAATTAATTTTTTAAATAATTAATTTATAATTAATTAATTTATAATAATTAATAATTAATTAATTAATTTAATAAATAAATTAATTAATTTAATAAATTAATTTATTAATTTTTTAATTTATTTTTCAAATTAATTAATAAGTAAATTAATTATTTTCACTATTTAAAAAGTGAGGGAATGACACTAATAGTGAGGGAATGATATTTTATTTTAATACATGTTTTTATCTAAGTTACATCTACCTAAAGTTTGAAAATGATAACATACTAAGTATATCTAATATTTATTATAATTTAGTCTTATATATTTAATAGTTTTTACAGGTTTGGGAAATAAAATTGGCTGGCACGATTGAACAAAAAAAAATTTGATAATATACTCATCTTGAATCATTCCCTCACTTCAGCGTCATTCCCTCACTTTATACACTAGTGAGGGAATGACGAATTCAATAAAATTTAAAAATAACAGTTAGGCCTAATTAATTTCTGAAGTCAATCACATACAATTATATTCATACAAGAAAGCAACATATAATTATCCACTTTCTCGATGAAGTTGTATTTTATTTTACTCTAAAAAATGACATGAGGGAATGACAAATGTAAAAAATTTTACCTGGTTTGATTCATTCAAATTTATTCCACAGCAAAGCTTCTTTAAGTTGAAGATGGAAACATACTGCAATTTTGTTCTATGATGCCAGTTGTTAACTTCTGAAGTTTTTATTAAAATATTTTTATTCTAAGAAGATTGCAGGTGATAAGAACATTGTTGTGAGGGAATGACGCGAAACACTGGGGACAAAGTTTAAAATAGTGCTGTGTTAATATTTTTATCAGAAATTAAATTTAAAATTGATTTTCTGAATTCTATATTTCAGTATTCTGAAATAAAAAACACGAATTTGTAAAAAAAAAATTTTTATTTCAGAAACAATTTTTTTCTTTTTTTAAATCAGCAGTGGGGACAAGTGAGGGAATGACATATTGGTATATTTTAATTACCTAAAATAAATAAAAAATAAAAATTGATAATTTTATTTTTATTCTTTTGTTAGCTTGCATTCTGAAGGACACTTTCCCTGAATTTTTTTTCTTCGTAAGCTGTAAAACAAACATAAAATATACTGGGGACATGAAAATGACTGTTTTTGTGAGAATGACCCATATATATATAATCAAACGCGTACCTGCCAAAATTGGAGAAATAAAATAAAGAAGATTTTACTAGCGACATTTTTTAGGTTACGAGTAAAGTTTTGATACATAATACATAATCATGTAAGTCAAAAGAGAAATTCAAAATTAGAAATAATATGAGCGAATTATTCGAGCATTTAGTCAATTAAAAAATATGTATATAAATCTTAACCTAGATAATATTTCTTTTTAAATCATTAACTACTTAAACTAATTAACACTCAACATACTGTAGTACTGGCAATAGCACCATCTGTTGAGGAATAAGAGAAGTATTTTAGCCATCAGCAGATATTTTATTGTAAAAAAAATTGTTTTTAAAATTTTTTTAAACAAATACGGAGAAATTTGAGAATATACAGGTAAACAGGAGATAGTCGTAAAATACAGGAGTCCTTGTTAAAAAACAGGAGACTTGGCAGGTATGCAAATGCTTCAATCACAGAACCATATTTATCCAAGAAATATTTCAAATTTCGGAAACATTTATTTCAAAACAAATATGTTTTTAATTTACACAATTTTGTAATCCATATATGCATTACAATTTAAATTGACCTAACTGCAACATAAAAAAAGAACAGCTTTCAATTTACCTCATGTAGTCAATAAGATGCTTTGGAAGAACAGGAATAAAGATATGCTGCCTGAAATAAAGAATAATAAAGTTAATGAAAAAAAAGCATTGAGGAGGGGAAATAGTTTTAGAACCCTCTCAATAATTAGAAATCTGGAAGCTCTGCCTCAATCTTTCGTGACGCTAATATTTCTGCCAATGGGATACCTGTAAGTGACGTAGTGTGGATATCTCGAACCGCTGTTGAAACGTGGTGTTTGTTTATGTTAGCAATTGTTTTTTCAACTCTATTTAGAGTAAACCAAGCCCGTCAAGTATCAATTCTGGTAAGTGACACATTCCAAATTTTTTCAAAAAAGATTTTAATTATTTCCCAATATATTTACACAGAGACTTAACACAAAGACATGTATGAAGCTAAGTGGAACATTAATTAATTATGCATCAAAGTTACCAGGTACACAAAACAAAAATATATCACAGTTACAATTAAATAAATAAACGATTAATAAATATAAACTAAGCAAAAGAAGTAGATGAGAAAGAATTATATTTCAACTAATTTGATGTGCGATACGCCTCTACATTTAATTAACTTATCGTAAATTTAGATTCTAACTTATGTAGAGAAACTTAGCTCAACTTTAATACGCAATTTTACTGACAAAGATTAGCTGGCACTGACGTCATATGTCACACGTGGAAGACCTTCATGAAGTGCAAGTTTTCTTGAATTATCAATGATTTCAACACTAACGCCTAAAAGGTATCTGCTTGATTTAAAATTTTCTAATTCATGACTTTTCATGGCTTAATAAAGTTACTATTTTCTCGACAAAAACACAACAAGAAATTTACAAAAGCATTATAACAACATAAATTGAAATGATAGGTATAACCAAAACTGTTATACTTTGCATTTTCATATTTAAAGAGTTTAAATTTAAAAAAAAAAACAGAGTAAAGAAAGAGTTGAAGCAATAAAATAGCCGAAAAAAATACAAAAGCAAATAATTTTTCTCTGCAGAATTATATTCTAAACATACTTTTCTTGTTCATTCGAAAGGAAAGAAATACTCCTGATTTTTTATGTTCTCACTTCGGAATAAAAAAATTCGCCAATGACTAGCTTGCTTCAGCTAGAATTTTAAATTGATAAAATAAAAAATAAATAATAACAAAAATTCTGAAATCACAGAAGTTCAAAAGATAATTTGCTCCAGAAATGATGTTTTTTCTTTCATTTTTTGAAAGAACACCATAACTTTTAACGAACACGATAAAAATATTTCATATTTTAATAAAATATGATTGTGAGTGGGGATTTTATTACAAATTCAGATATTCAGAACACCATGAAATGGAGGGGGGGAAGGGTATTTCTTATTTCCATTTTAAAAATTAGATTTTTTAGCCACCTAAATCCATGACTTTCCATGATTTTCTTAAAGAAATAGTTAAAATCATGACATTTCTTGACAAATTTTGTTCAATACTGAAATTCATGACATTCCATGTGCCTATTAATAAGCCAGGATATAATAAATTAATAGGCCAGGATACCCTGCGCCTATTAATTTTGCACAGTTCTTCACCATTGTTATTTCAGCTTTCCATACACAGAATAATAATGAACTCTTACATGAATACAAATTTTAACTCAACAGAGACATATTTCATTATAAAATTTTGTATTAACAATATTATTTTGCTTGAAATTTTCCCTTAGTCACAGTAACTCTCCTTTAGAATCCACACACATGGGTTAGTTTGTCCAAACTTTTTGATCCAATAAAATTGAAATTACATTAAATCACCTCTCATAGATGATTTTGGCTTACCTCTGAAACGCTTCTTTAAATGAAACATTTAACATTGCGTGTATTTTGCATAATAGGATGCAGAGAGCAAAACTTTACCACAAAAGTTTTGTTACTCGATCTCTTGCTAAAAATGCATTTTTATGAACAATGTTTGATAGAGTAATGAGTAAAGCAATTTTTCAGGTCACAAATACTTGAATTCTGTTACATGAATATTACACGCATACTTCTAATGAAAAGTTAAGAAAACATAAGCAAAATTTTATCCTAATGATCAGTACTATAGAGAAAATAAGTTAAGTTCATAACACATAGTAGTTGATATACAAGCACAATCATTGTACAATCACATCTTAGAAAGTGATAATGTTCAAAACATATCACTTTCACATAATTTTTGAAATTAACCAAAATAAAAAAAAAGAAGTAAAAAAAAAAAACATTAAAATATTAGGTAATTAGCAATATTCATAAAAACTGTGAGAAAGATTAAGAAATTTAAATAAAAAATTCAGAATTCAGCTATCAAACTTTGACAACAATAAACTTGTTACAATGTTAAGGTTTCAGTATGAAATCCTTTATATGAAAAAAATGGATAATAATGTTAACAAAATCATTTAAAATACTTTTTTTTTTTACAGTATTTGAAAAATAAGCAATCATTTTGTTATTGACAAATTTTTTTTCAATTTTAATAAAATGAGGTTTGGTATGAAAACATTTATTGGATAATTATTGACCTTTATTGAGAGTAATAACATAAAAAAGGAAGAAAGTAAGCTTACCAATGCATTGGGTATATAAGAGAATTGGCTGCTTGTACACAGGCACTCAGTCGACAAAGATTTTTTGACTTAATTATTATTCTACGTTCGTGAAGCATACTGCAATAAATGTTTACATATTAGAACAAAATTTCATTTATTCCAAATCGCTCATTTGCCCTTGAATATATAATACAGAAAAGGCACAAACTACTTTAAAAAAGTGACAAAACTTTTGAAAACAGCAGAAACAAAAATTAAAATCAATAATTATTGATATCAACCTTGTTCATTTCTTTAAGAAAATATTTCAGGAGTAATTTAAACGGCAAAATATATGGCTTTAAAAGCTGTTGAGTGGGTTTTCAATCAAGAAGTAAGTATTTGTGATAAAAAGATAAAGAAAGAAATCAGAAATTTTAAATGGGTAGAAACTAACACAATTCTTAAACTAAAGTTTTACATAATAAAATGCAAACTAGATTAATGCAATAAGAATAAAATGCAAGTTCAATGTAACAAAATAAAGGAATTTTTTGTTAAAATATCTTTAAATGAAATTTTTATTTTAACAAACATTACAAATTATTCAGGTTAGTTTCATAAACCGAAGATTTCTGTGAACAACTACAAGCATACAATTTAATAAATCATACAGCAAAGCTTTTCTAAAATTTCATAAAGCCTATATATTTTTTTATATATCAATCTTATGGTTTAAAGTTGTTTGGACCATAAAAAAAAGTCTGGTTCTGATTTAAACTACTACTATAAAATGAGATTTATACCTGGCAAATATAACCATCATGTTGTGTGCATCAATGGCATTAAAATACTCAGTTAGGTTTCTCTGAAACAGAATAAAACATATTTAAATTGATCACTTTACACAAAATATGTTTGCGATAATGAGCACATAAAACTGCAATATAAAAGTAAAATCAACCACAGTAGATATCCTAGCGACTCACAACAATAACATTTTGCTCTATTTTTAAGGAAGATAAAAAAAAATTCTCACTGAAATTAAGAGATAAATTTAATTCGCTGAACTCTATTACTATTACATAGATTAGGAATACAATATAATGAAATGTTAGAATGAAGATTAAGTTAAATAACAATATCCTCCGTATTACATAAAAATATTAATATAAATATGAAAGATACAGAAAGCAAACGAAACACAGAACACTCAGTTTAATCGACACAACTTATAGTATCACTAAATTAAAATAGCGAATGATCCTTTTATATGCTATAGTAAAATATTCAAATTGCCATAATATGACTTCAATCTTTATCAAGTAATTTATTTAATTAGTTTCAATACATTTTCAGAAGAGTGTGAAAGAAACTTTTTAACAGTATGGTTACTTTACAAGATCCTCCAATATAGATATAATAAAAAGAGAAAGAAATGGAAAAACAATTAAAAATAAAATGGTTAATCTAACAAAAAAAGCTATAAACTGTTCAATGATGTGAAGATAATGAGTAGCATAAGTAAATTACATACATTTTCTGGAATGCTGGGAAGTTTTAAATGATTTGGGCAGTAAACAATAAGTTCCTGTAAAGAAAAAAAAGAAAAAGAAGGAAATAAGCATAAGAATTCGCAGGACATGTTTAATAATTTGTTTTAACAAGATACATACTTTATCACTATATGAAATATGTAAATTAAGACCTGGATCAGGTACTGGAGAGTTGTACAAAGATTCCAAAAAGTTGGATAGCAATCCAGACTAAATAAATAAAAATATCACATTAATTTCTGATAGGCAAATCAAGAAATACTATAGCAGAAAATAGCTCTTTATGAACAATAACTGACCTCCCTTTCATTTGTGAGATTTGAAATCTGATTTAGAATTTTGTAGAATGTTTCATGCCAAGGCAAAAAGCTGGAATTATAAATAAAATTATACATAAATGTTATTTGGAGTAAAAATAAATACAAAATATTTACTAAAGATGTGGTTGGGTATTTAGAAACAGCTTAAAACAATAATTCTTACACTTTTGAAGTTCAAGTCATATATTTTGAAACTGTTAGAAGCAATAATTTATTTTTATTTTTTAAAGAAAGAAAAAAACAAATTTACTGCATTAAATTTAAAGCAGGGTCAATAATGCAATGTATTCAATAGTTATATATAATGCAAAATTATTCAAAAATGGAAAGAATATCTTTAACATAGCACATTTCATTAAAATTTTCATACTATGTCTTAAAGTTTTTAAGGAAAATTATTGTTTTTATTTGTATTTTAATGAAATATTAAGATATTTTAAATAAAACACTTTCATAGAATATTAAGTATTTTAAAAATTCAAAAATCAGCAATAAAAATTAATATTATAAGTTAGTATGCAATTTTGTTACAGATAAATGAGAGTTTATTATTATTATTACTTTTCTCTCCTGCAGTTTCATGAATGTATTTTATGAGAGGTAAAATTTATCTACTAAAAAAATTAATTTAAAATCTAGTGTGGTCAAGTTTTTCTTCAACACTATGGTCGATGATTTTAATTTTGGTTCAAGAGAACAATGTATTTCAATAAACTATCGTAAAAAAAAAAGAAAATTTGTAAAAATTAATTTATACTTATTTGATCATTTACTCATCGTAAAATTAAGCTGACAAATATTAATGCATGCTAGAAAAACATAAATGCATAGTGAAATGGTGATTAAAAAAACAATTACAGTCTCTTAAGGACCAGGAGGTCATTGAGGTTAAAGCTCTCCAATTATTTAACCAACGTCATAACAGTGGAGATGTGGATTTAATTGTGCATCTGTTCCCTATACTTTCCAGACAAGCTGGTAGAAAAAGTAAAGCATTCCTGGAACAGCCTGTTGTGGGCCAGGGGGTTAAGGCTCCACATTTATGTGACGAACGGCATGTTTGTGGCAATGTGGTCAACAAACTTCCCAAACAAGGTGGTACCCACAGATCCGTAGCTGGATGGGCTTTAAGTCGCCATTGGGGATCGAATCCCAGTTCTTCACAATAACAGTTCAGTGTCCTAATCATAGAGCCATCACGGCTCTAGACAAGCTGTTACTCATTTATTTTAGGCAGGTTGGATTTCATGTCGTAACCAGGGATAAAACCCCTGACTCTTAACAGAGACAGTGTCATGTTCTAACCACTGTGCCATCCATTTCAAGCAATTATTAATGCATCTGAAAACCACTAAATTATCTTTAAAAAAATTTTTTTACTCACAAATACATAAACAAATAATATATTTGTAGATAAAACATCCAGTTTAAAAGCGTGTGAAGTAAATATAACATGGAATCAGGAAATATCATTGCACCAGATTCAACTATTTGGCTTCAAATTGAATAAATTAAAAAGAACTATATAAAATTCAATATACCTGAGCAAAACAAACAAAGTTGGAGTTTTGGGAACACTTCTACAATAACCAAAACTCCATTTGCTGTCTAAGCTGGTCAAAACAAAGGAGAAGTGCTGAATGTTTTCACTAGAAAAGAAACAAAACATTTATAATTCATCTATTAAACATTTACACAATACCAGGGGTAATTGTGAGCCCAACTCAAAAATCATGAAAATTTCTTGAGTGAAATCATTAATGACGCATTTCAAAAAATGAATGTCGAAATTCTAAATAAATTATATGCAGCATAATTTAAATGGATAATGTTTTTAATGTATAAGTTTACTTTTATGTCTAATCACATTTACTATTATAGCAGAAAAAATATTTACAAATGAAAGAGCTGCCAAGTATAAATTCTAATTCTAATATTTCTAAATAAAACATACAATAAATTTTATACATAAATGTGATCGATGATTTCTTGAAACTTCTGGACCTTGGGTTTCCGAAAACTATCGCAATTAGTGAAAAATCCGGAAATCCGGATTTTTTCCGGAGCATAATCATGTCTGCAATACTTATTATATTGCATTTACTCACACTATTCAAAAAAAAAATTTTTTACAAAAATAAATAAGTTTAAAAATGTTGCACGATTGGACCGTAAAGAAAAAAAGGATTTTATTCTTTTCACACAAATTACCTTACATCATTGACCTTAATAAAAATTTTAAATGCAGAAAATAAGAGCAACAATAATGCTTCAACAAATTTTGAAAATAAGTTGTATTTTGAATAGAAAAAGCAAGGTTGTTGACTGGATATTGAGGACTATTTTGCAAAAGTTGGAGTCAAAAAAATTTGTTCAACTCCAGATAGTTATAAAAGCTGTCTTTTAATAGCAGCTGTTCTTTTTATAACACACACATACATATGTGTGTATATATATGTAGTGCTCCTCCTCTATTTTCCTCGTAAACTCTTTAGCCGTGCTTTCATTCATGAATCATTATTTTGTTGATTCCAATTTTCGCAGTCATGTTTTAATATTTTTAATATCCTTTATATAAGGATGACAACATAATGCATTTTCTATGCCTTTATTGAGATTAAGAATAAGGAATCTATTTACAAATTATATATACATGGAGCAGAGCTCCTGGATAGATGCTTACAGTTTCATTCCTAAAAGATAAGTGTACACTTTTTTACGTGTTACATATAATTTCCTTCATGTCATGTGACCCAAATAATCCAGACCATTTTTTATATCTTCTTTGTTAGGACCGGCGTTCTGTAACATCTGAAGACCAGATGGACGGGGGTGAGCTAATATCTCAATGTGGTTTTTGACTTTAATGGGAATTCGGCTTCTTAATGTGCGGGGTGGATTCATTTTATAAATAAAGATTTCATCGCTATTCAACGGGACTAAATGTATACGCGAAGAGCCAAGTTAAGTATGTGAAAGAGAAATTTAATGTTCTCAGAGACCAGATAAGCTTATCTGCAGATAGATATAATTCTGTTTGAGTTTAGTCTCAAAAGATCCTTTTAATTTTATAAAGCTAGTATTTTAGATACTACAATATCCCCCCTCTCAAAGGTGTTGACCCGGAGGTGATCAGGCTCCACATCACATCTCAATGAGGAAAGATCAAAATCCTTACTTACCATCTTCTATTTAACTATTTAAAATGAATATTAATCTGGATGATTCAGATCACATGATCTGAATTACAAAAACAATCTAAAAATAAAAACAATTTTCAAATATAATGTTAACAAAACGTATGAAACTACCTCAATTGTAATGGTTTCGTACTAACTCTCAAAATTTTTTAAAATAGATTATATAAAACATTTATAAAAACACTCAATATTCTACTTCTTAAGATGCTAAAGTAACATCTACTTTAAAAATATAAATATAAAAATGTAGTTGCAACTAAACAATAGGCCTTAAAAATTGCTACGTACGTTTAAGTCCTTGTGACATTAGTCACTTGATTGAGGACCTATTAGCATGCTTATAAAACTTCATCATTATCCTAAATCTCTTAGAAAAATCTCTTAAATATTCATCTCACAGAGCTTTGAAATACTCATAAATTTTCCCTCTTCTGTTACACTTTGAAATAGTTATTCAAAATATTCTCTTTAACTAACTCCTTAAAATACTTCAAGTAAGAAAAACTAACTTTCCTCTTCATTTCTATAAATCTCAAATACACTACTTAATCTCAGTATTCACTATTCCTTCTAGTACATACCTTACAACAACTTTCCTTATTTTCACAAAATAATCAATTTTAGTACTCATTCCACATCCAATATTCATTTTTTTGTACTCATTTCCACAAACAATATTCATTTTTTAGTACTCATTTTCACTAACATTCATTTTTTAGGCCTAAAATTTAAAAACTCAATTTCTTAAACATTTTTGGCATCGTTGCCACTTCTCATTCTTTGTGACTGCATGTCACTGTATAAAGTATAAACACCTTCATAAAATACAAACATCAAAATATAAAGTAAAGAAAAATACAATTCCAAACATAATTTCCAGTTATGGAAGATCCTGGCAACCTTAAGTGTGTCATCATCAATTATATGCATTTGTGGTTTAATATTTCCACAAAGACAAAAGAAAAGATAAAGCTTCGTCCACATAACCTGTTATCTCAGGTATGGGTAAACACTACGCTGGTTTTCACTAATTAAGGGTCGGATCTTCCAGAAAAGGGGTAATATTTCTTCTCATCATCATCAATATATATGACAGTTCAAACTTAGTCTTAATGTATAACAAAATTCATAATTTTTCCTTCAATAATTCTTCTTATTAATATTATTGATAACAGTTCAGTATCATTTTTAATAAATTACAAAATTCGAATTTTCCTTATAGCAAAATTACAAAAATATCATAACAGAAATTGACTAAAATTTACATAAAATGTACTCTTAATTTTCACCTTCTGGTGTTAAATGAAATTCTTCAACTGGATAAAAATATCTTAATTTGGAAGAGTGAACGATTTCAGTTTGATTATTATATTTATCTATCTCAAAGTTTACATTAGAAAGTTTCCTTAATATAGTGTAAGGGCCTGAATAAGGAGAAGTTAATTTTCTAGTGTTAGGGTATTTATATTCTTCCANAATATGAGATAAAATATAAAAAAGGAAGTACTAATTATGAGGCAGATATGCTCTCTAGAAATAAAATTTCTCACCATAATTGCTATCCAACTCATTTAATTCAAAAAGAAAAATTAATTGAACATCAAAGGCTTGATAATGTAAATAATCCTAATTTTAAGAAAATTAATGATATTTTAACTGTAAGTAAAAAGGGTTTAATTAAAATTGTAGTCCCCTTTTCCTTAAGAGAAGAATTAATTTCAAAAGTACATGAAGAATATGGTCACCCAGGTGTAAAGAAAATGTTAAGCATTATTTCCCCATACTATTATTGGTCAGATATTATTAAGGACATTAGTAATTATGTTAAGCACTGTGAAACTTGTCAATTTAATAAGGTCTCAGACTTGAAAAAATACGGTTTGTTACAGTCAATGCCACCCTGCAAAGAACCTTTTGAGTTAATATCACTGGATTCTGTAGGTGGTTTTAACTATTATAACTCTTCTAAAAAATATTTGAACATNATACATAAATTCTATAATATTATTCATTGAAGATTAACTAGATTGTTAATATTAACTGAAAATGTTACAGCACAAAATATTGTAAACCCTACTATGTCTGATACTGAAGATATTTCCATATTGATATTTGTTAACACCAACTGAAGTTGCCAAGAAATAAATAAAATTGCCAGATGTTTAACTTTAAATAAATCTTTAAAAAAAGTTATAGAAACTTGTTTGGCACAGATGCTAACACAAAATTTTCTTCATAATACAAAAAAAATTGAAAGAATGAAAAATGCAAGATAAAAGAAAGAAAAAAAAGATTATGAGAATTTACATTAATCACACGACTATAAACAGATTTAAGAAACAGAATGAATTGCCATAGTAAGTATACAAAATATTTCTATTTCATGTTTTAAACATTGCAATTTCTATATTTCAACTTCTCTAAAAATTTCTTCAAGAAAAATCTCCCCCATAAAAAAATGTAGCAATATGAAAATTAACTTTAAAATCCACTTAAAGGCACTTTAGGAGGAGAGAGGTATGTGATTTGCTTATTTATGCTGACAAAGGTAGAGGAGTGGTATAAGCTTCGCTTATATAAAACACTAAAATCCCTATAATAATTTTTTTTTCAAAGATATAAAGTAATAAAAAAATCACATAAAATTAAACTTGGAAAAATCTGAAACATAAGTTACATTCGGCGAGAGAGAAAGTCGGAAAAATGTCTAGAGTTTCGGCAAAAAAAAAGGTTACTAAAGAATAGAAGACTGTTCAGTAAAAGAACAACATGTGTAAATAAATATGTTAAAAGAATAGAGGATGCAGAATGGATAGATGAAAAAGTGGCCCAAGATTCATACCCAATTGAAGAAATGTTGATAGATTTATGGGGAAATGGATGTAAAAGCTTAGGAAAGCATCTGATCAGATGTTTATGGGCTAAATTTAAATCATATTATACCTAAGTTTTTCTGTTTAAACTATGTTAAACTGAAAAATTTTCAAATCATTCATTTCATCATAAAATGAACTGAAATATAATTTTTTGTAATGCAAAGATAAATCTTATATTTGAACTTAATCCTAAAATTAGATTACTACAGTAAAAGAAATATACAAAAAGAGGTGTTGTTACTTTCTTAAGCAAGTATAGAAGGGGGTTCAATATTTTCAAAAATATGCATATTTAATGTTTAATCATTGCTTTTAGTATATCATTGCTTTTTAGTAAATCCTGAAAAGCACTGACTAAACTCAAACTCTAATAAAATCAGATTTATTTAAAAAAAACAAAGTTAATTTAAAACGGGGAAAAAACAGAGAAATGTATAAAAAAAAACATTTATTACTTTGTGAAGTTGCAGGGACAAGAAAATTCAGGAACAGACTTCAACACTTCCTAAAAGTGAAAATAAATTATAGAGTTATGTAATAGATAAAAAATACAAATAAATAAAATATTACAGATACATAATGCTACGTCATAACACTTGAGACAGAATAGAAACATTTGCTACAAAACCATTGAAATGTTTATAAAATCATGAAGAAAAAAACTCAGCGAAAGTAAAAATTTGCATAGCAGGTGCAAAGCAGTTAGAAAATAGAGTAAAAAGAAAAACTCACTCAATGTAATGAATGCAGTATAGTTCACTATTACGAAATATTTCTAGGTCTCCCTTAAAATGCAAATATTAAAGATACAATAACTGAATGCTTATAATTAGTTAAAAATTACTATCTGTTCTTACAACAAAAAATGTTTTAGGGAAAAACATTTTTCTGCTGTTTAAATGAGCAAAACTATATGAAAAATATTTAAATGAAAGACATTTTTAATTTATTAATACAGGAAAGCAAAAAGAAAGTTTTTTTCCTTATAGTTTAGACTCTGTATTCTTGTAAAGCAAAGTGTGGGCAACTACCGGCTAAGTTATCTTTTTCCGAACAAAAGAAAAGTTCCACCACAATTGTGAAGAACTTTGCCCAGCACTTCAAAAGAAGGCATATTTTGGAGATCACATGTCTGTTAATCAATGATGTGAAAAGGTATTGCACGCCATTTCATTATCTTCTGTGGAAAAATTATTACGATTATTACAATTATGAAACTTGCTAAACATTTCTGCCTTTCAAAATGTAGTGAGTTACGCATTTCAGCCTACAATCTGTAGGCAAAAGCAGTCTACTAAAGATATGTATTTAAAATTAAAATAGCTGCTCAAAATAAAAGAAGTAAATATGTCTATTTTGTATCTGCTTATAATGGCAAACTCTCTATAACAACAATTTCATCTATTATGTATTATAGTTATAAAACAGACTTTCACTGTAAGTAATTCAAACTAAAGGCATAGTATGCTATTGGCTAGAAACTAAATACTGAAATTAGATACAAGGCTAAAATGAAACAATACATTTAATACCAGACCAGTATAATATACACAAGAGAGCGGATGACGTTTCAGGAAAATTTTTTACTATTACTAAAATAGAAAAGAAATATTGGTTTTTATGCTTTTTCTTTCGAATTCAAAAGAGATTTAAAATTATATTCCATGATTTCAAATCACACATCGTGATTCCCATTTACACAACTTAAGATCCCGCTTCAAGCTTTCATGATTTTATATTAAATATCGCGTTTCGCATTCACACAATTTTAAAATTAAACATTGAGATTCATATTCATACGGTTTTTAAGTCAAACATTTAGATTTGCATTCATGCACTTTTAAAATCAAACATTGAGATTCATATTTACACAGTTTTTAAATTAAATGTTGAGATTCATGTTTCAGTGATTTAAAAAACACATTTTGAGATTCATATTCACAGTTTAAATAGATAATAAAATCTTGAATCAATATTTTCATTAAGACATTGATACATTTGGTCGATAAACATTTCCTACATACTTTTTTTTAATTTAAATTTCCTAGGTATTTTTTCAATTATTTAAAAAGTGTTTTTGCACATAAAATTTTGCTACTTTCAGATTTTTTGGTTTTTTACCAAACTTATCTCTGTGGTAATAGTTAAATAAGAGTCTTATAAAAATAAATTTTTTTAAAAAACTCTGTGATTATCAAACAAATTTGCCATAATAAGGGGGTTGAAAGAGTTAATCAATGCGTGCAGAAAGTTTTGTAACTGAGATTTTGTGTTCACTGAAAGTTTTTAACTTCAGCTAAGTCTGTTTAATAAATACTGCACTGCAGCTTCACACTTAAAAAGAAAATTAATTAGAAAAGAACATTAGAAAAAAAATTACCTGATCGTTAAAGTCTTCAGGATATTTTTGAAGTATCCATGCTTCTAAAATTCAAAATAAAAATAAACTTATATGTTAGTCATTCATTAGTAATACTGGTATACGTATCACAATTAAAAAATAAACTTACTTTTTTCATTTTCACTTGGAATGACGATTTCAAAGAAACATTCAAAGAGATGGGAGGGATTTTCCCTAAAAAATACAATAAAAAGTTTAAATTTAAAAGAAAAAAGTTTATCAAAATTTTTGGAGACTAAACAAACATTTAAAAAGAAAAGTTATCACCTTCTCTAATTGTGTACTGATGATTAACTTTAATCAAGTTTTAAATGTGAATTCGGAAAACGTCTGAATATATTTAATAGACCATGTCTTATACATTTGCATTGCTTATCAAAAACGTTTGCATGAGTCGTTAACTATTGAAAAAACAAGCCAAAAAATTACGAAGTCAATATCATAGAAATTTGTTTTTGTAAAACATAAAAAATCTGTAGGTACTCTTTAATTGCAATAAAATTTTACTTCGCAATAAAAAAATTGCAAAAAATTTTTCATTTTGAAAAAGCAATAAGAATTATAAGATTTTAAGAATGTCCTATCACATGCGCTGCTTTTTTTAACAACTTCTTTATTCATTAAAAACAAATGTAGTTCAAAGATTTATTTTAAAATTATGAATTTGATAATTTATTGAACAGCAAAAAAAAAAAAACAAAAAAAAATTAAATAAATAAATAAATAGAAAATCTATTTTTCTATAGAAAAAGTTAAAAATCAGCTACAATTTAAAATTTTTAACGAGGAAAGAGCTAGCAAAACTTTGAATGTTTTATAATTTGAAAATGTTATGAATTATACTTTTAACATTCCTTCCTTATAACCCCAAAGAATAACTAAATTGTTGATTTAGTTTTTATATAAATTGCTAGATAAAAATTAAATTTATTGCAGTCTCACAAAAGCTAAATTTTTATTCCATAATAATTTTCCAACAATGAACCGTCATATGCAAAACTCATTTTGAAGAGAGTATTCATTTAGAACAAGAGCAATCAATAATAAATCTAGAATATACACCTATAATTTTTTATGAGAATTTTAATTATCTATTCTAGAGGTGAATAATTTTTTTCTACTTTTTTTCAGCCCAAAACCTAGATTTTATAAAATTTATTAGCAATTTTTAACTAAGAAATGACTATTACATATTTTGAAAATATTTAATATGAATATTGAAACTTTTCGATAGATTCATATATTTGTCCTAAAATTTGGCTTTATGTTTGACTGTTATATTTTGCAAGCTACAAGTGGCATCAAATCTAGCTGTGAATTGATTTTTGGTATATGTCTAAGCTGAATAGAGAATAATCTTTTGGATATTTGCTGGTATGCACTCCCAAAAACTAAGTTTCATAAGAGATAAGAAAAACATTAAAAAGAACAATAATAAATAAATAAAAAATAAGAATAAAAATTAAGACAATTTCCTAGCAACTTTTTAAGTTTTTGAATTGAACACTTGAAATTTAATTGAAAAGTATTTTCACAACAAAATTTTAAAAAGTGTTAAGAAAATCAGAAATAAAAAAAAGCCATAATAAAAGAATTCAGACAAAATGAAAATTATTCTGTAGTATAATTTTTAAGAATTCAGGACAAATAGTAAAACTGAATTAATCTAGAGTATAGTGCTAGACTGCTTTCAATTTTCACTTATAAGTTTCCCAAAAATTAAGATTTATAAGAGATGAAAGAATGAGGATGTAGCATACAAGCAATTACTAAAATGTTACATATATTTAAAAAATACTTAATCTAGAATATAAACCTACAATTTTTTACTTGAATTTAAAATTAATTATACTTTCAAAAATTCAGTTATTATGGTGATGAGAAAAAAAATTTAAAATTACAATCAATTATCTAAGCATTATTTGTAAAATTAAATTAATCTAAAATATTAAGCATAGTATTTAGGAACAGCAAAATTAATCTAGAATATAATAGCAAAATTAGATTAATCTAGAATATAAAGCTATCACTTTCAATATTAATTTTAGCTGTCCATAATCCTAAAAATTGAGTTTCATACGAAATAAATGAATGACAAGGCTGAAAAACTATAACTATGACATGGCATAAATATAAGTTATTTTAAATATTTCTTTTATAACTGTTGGATGAAATACAGGTCGGTTATGAATGAATTATGAGAAAAAAAAGGAATTTAAAATTATGTTTCAGAGAGTCTTAATTTTTATAATTACAAATGAGCTTATTTTCGTCAAAATTTGAACATCGACCTATTAAGGAAAACAAACTTTCCTCATAATCTAGGAAAATGCCACAATTATTTTCTAAAACTGCACACACACCATAAAATAATAGAAATTGTTGTAAATAAAAAAAATATTGTGAATATTTATTTATTTAAACATGTTGATAAGCAATAAATTGTTTCCAATTCAAGAAAAACTACAATTTTCAATCTGTCACCTTAGTCTAGAACCCATTGGTCACGTGAATATTGTTAATCTTTAGATAAAAATGTCATTTGTCACACAGTAAAATGCCACGACAATAGATAACAAAATCATCATTGTAAAGAATTAGTTTTATAGTCACTTTATAGCAAAGAAACAAATAAACATTATGGAATTAAAGAATAGGATATATCAGCTGTTTCAACTTCATCCCTCCCCCGCTAAAAAGTAAATAAATATGTGTTCACTTTCTGTGTTGCCAAAACCAAGTTGCGTAATACTAATCTAGCAATCCCATCTCTATAGGGTCATTCTTACTGTATGCGGTTTACGCACTTTTGATTGCTGTTGAAAAAAATCGACAGTGATCTGGCGAAACTTTCCTTCTCCTTTGGATATCCAAAGGAGAAGGAAAGATATCTATGTCTAAATTGAAGAAGTGGCCTCACAAAATCGTGATGGCATGCCTCCTGGACGTAAATAAAGTACCTACCTATCAGATTATTACTTTACCAAGCAATTCATTGTTTTGGAGTTTAGGGTCAAAATTTTCTTCTATGTTGTACAACTGAGTGAAAAAACCTCTGCACTAGGAAACAAGTTTAAGGAACTTGTTTGAAGAGAAATTTTACTTAAGGAGAATCACAGCATGAGACTTCTATATGTGATCGCACGTCATGGCCATCCACGGCTTGCGCAAGCAGCATGTCTTACATACAGTTTCTAAAAAATCGCGGGCTCGTCTAGAGCTAACCTTACTGCTCCGTGGAAGAGTGAATGGGGTACCGCAAGTTATAGTAAGTATGTTTTATATCACTGAGGAATTTTGAAGCATTTAGATACAGTCTATAATTCAGGCAGGGTGTAATGTGCAGGGTGTTATAATGTGCAAGGTGTTTCTTAATGACCACCCTGAAAATGTATTTGAATGAAGGCAAAAAAATTTACTTATTAGCTTTCTCAAGTCATTATGTAAGGGAAGGTATAAAAAAAAAGCTGTGAGAATCTTATAAATTACTGTTAAGGATGGCAGGTGCCCAAACTATCAAAACCTACTTGATTGTCTGATGAAACTTGAAAGTTTTTCCTTCGGCAGGCCAAAAGTTTTGACTTTTCTTCTCTTAAATATTAATTTCTGGCCTCTAAGATTAACTTATCCTCCTTAAAAGTTATTTATAGTTTTTACTGTAAATACAACGAATTTCAATCCCAAAGTAAAATATTTCAGATCAAATTACGTTATAAAGTACCGACATTTTCGTACAGGTACATCCTTCGTAAAATCCATTTAACGAAAAAATTCATTTTTATCGTAAAATGTTATACCGTAAATTTTACAGTATTTATTTGATTCGAATGATTCAGTGGTTTTGCTGTAATTATTACTGTGAAAAGTACGGTATTTTAAATGTTTTGTTCCGTAACATGTTCCTGTAAAAATGAATTTCGCGGTAAAAAGTATGATGCACACCAAGTACCGGTACTTTTCACCGTAATTTGATCCAGAATTTTTTACATTGCCGCATTTATGGATTAGGTTAACAAAAGTAGCGTAACTTGAAAATAGGTCTCATTAAAAGTAAATTTTTTTAAGAACAGAAGCTATCCTCCTCAGTTGCATAGCAAACAAAATAAATTTAAAACACGTTAATGAGGAAAAGTAAACTTGTTCAAACAATAAATTCCTATTTCAAAATAATAAATTCATTTATACATATATATATACTCATCTAGGAGCAAACTGTCGTTATTTTTTTTATTGTTGGTTATTAAAAATTAATAAAGCATTTGATAGTATTTCTTGCTTGTGTAAAATATTATCTCATTATACAAAAAAATCGTAGCAGTTTTGAGTGTTCAACTTTGTCTTGCTACACAGAAACTGAAAAAGGATATGTACCTTGAAAAGGATATGTACCTTGAAAAGGATATGTATCTGAGAAAATCACTTAATAGCGGTAAATTTTAGTTATCATGGTGTGGATGGCATAATGTTATCCGCGAACAATAGTATCATGCCAAGATATGCTAAATACATTTTATCCTTATATATACATATATATATATATATACAACAAAATAAATAAATACAAGAAAACACGAAGACTATGTTTTTACCTGTGATTTTTACTTATTGTGTTCTATTTTATTTGTTGCAATTTTTGTAAAAAAATTTTTTGAGTGCTCCTCACACTATTGAATTAATATATTTTGCTTTGGCTATATTGATACAATATTAGAAAGCACTCTTTTTTGCGGATATAATCGTGTGGGCTGATGAAAAGATTATATCTTTTATTTTCCGGTTTTTTTAAATTCATCCTTTAATTAAATTTCATCCTTTTTTTTAAATTATTTTTTTTTAAAATTATTATTCCCCCCCTCCTTTTTCATATGTCTATAATTTTCCTTTGTTTCATCTTCGTTTTGAATATATATATACATATATATATATATGTAGCCTTCGAGTTTACATAAAAACTTAAATATAGTAAGGAAGTATATTGATAATGATGACGGTCGGCTGTTTAACTATGGTTATAAAATTAATGTTGAAAAAAAATAATTGATCAGTATATTTAATTCTTTTAAGGAACAAAAAATTACGTAAAAAAGAAATCTAATTTAAACTGATTAATTTTGCATGTGAGAGCACTGAAAAATCGCTTAAAAAGTTAAAAATAAATAAAAGAATTAAAGTGTTTTCTTCTCAAATGAATGCGTATGTTAAGAAATGAAAAATATTTAAAAATTATTTACAAATTCATACATTTTTAACAAATTCTAATTATTTTAACTGAAAAATTATAACAGCATAATACCGTTTTGATTTAATAAACTACAACGACTATTCTTTTATTAGCTGTTATAAAATAACATTATTCAGCGAATAACATAGTTTCTAAAATAAATAAAGGTTACGTTCAAATAATATCTATAAAAATTAGTAGTACAACATTCTCCACATTCTTTCTTCAGATCCATTTCTAAGTCCCATTGTCAGTCCATTTTGGAATTCAACTCGTCAACCCAACTTTAACCGCCCACTTCCATGCCCGGAAGTGATATAATCTTCTTGGAAGTGGGAGGAGTGTTCTAAAGGGGTACATACTCCAGAGCCAGAGAGAACGTCTTAAGTTCTAGCATTTTTCGAAGTTTCATTTGATAGAATTGTATACTTTCAAAATTATTATGGGGAACAACATGATTTCTGAACAGGAAACCGACATGGTTTTCACAACGGAGCAATCCACTTTTCTTTCTTACTATTCAAGGAAAACAAGCAAATTTGGAATTAATTATGCAACCCATTTTGACAATATCTATTCCGCATTTCTCGGCACTGGTGATTCTAACACAGTAAAGGAAGTTTTAGAGCTTTCCAAGGAGATTAAAATGGACTTTTGTAAGATTTTTAAAGGCAAACTGAGGCGTATCTTTTACACTTATAAGGATTTTTCACATCTCTGTTTGGTAAATTGTTTGCAGAACTTCATAGTAGTTACCGATTACGGTGCAATGAATGAGTTTTATGGACATGAATCGCCGACATGTTTTGAATCAGCAACCGGTTTATATTCAATGACAACACTCAATCTGGCCTTCATCATTTCCATATTAATTTATTATTATTATAATTAATATTATAATTATGATAATTAATATTATAATTATTATGATAATTAATATTATAATTAATATTACTATTTCCTTTTTTTAAAATTTTATTCTTTTATGATTTAAAATTCGCGAGTGTTAACATTTTGACACAAAATGTTCATTAAACATAATTTTCACACTTTATTTTTAGCATTTTCCTTAATTTAGGTCAAATAAGTGAAACATTCATTATTTATTTCCTTCATTCATAAGTATTCATTATTTATTTCATTATTTATTATTCATTCATTATTTATTTCATTATTTATTATTCATTCATTATTTATTTATTATTCATTTTCATTGTTTACGGTTATGAAACATCGGTGCTTTTTCTGCGTTAAAGGTAAAATTTGAAATTCTATTTTAGTACAAATGTAATTCCGACAAATTTTTTTCTGTTAGACTGCTTTTTAAAATTAAAAAATACTAAATTGTATTTTTGTTCGTAATTAGAGCATTAGAAAAATGATGGGACACAGGTGTCCCCTCTGAGTCAAAGATTATTGTCCCACAAGAAAATCTTTTATTAGCTACATTGCTGGTGTGGGAATCTAAGATTATCAAGCTTTTTTATTTATTACTTATTTGTAATTAAAATTTATTAAACTTATTGATTTGTTTATTTTTTTTTTGTCTTAATAACTTTTTAAAATAATCTTCAACTTATTCTTCTTTTGAGTTTAATTTAATAAAAATTAAGGGGAGGGGGCGTTGAAGCTTTCTAGAGAGACAGCAAAGAATTTATAAAAGAAATTATTTTTAATATTTAATAAATTTTTAAGCTAATGTTTCTGTCTTTTTTACTTTTGGAAAATAAATTAAAATTCTCATCAACTATTTCATTTTATTAAAGCAGTTATTAATATAGCAATTTGTTGAGTAAAGTTGTCGATTTCAAAATATTAATAACCGAAAACAAAAAGCACCATCTTGATATTATAATGTAAAAAAACCATGATATTTAACATTACGCGAAAAAAAAAATTTAAAAATTTACTTTAACATAAAACATGATCCACCCTCTTTTTTATTCTTAAAATTAGGATATTTGAAGCGGTGTGAAAAAAAATCGAAGAGGTAAAAATCGAGATTTACTTGAAAAATCTTTTGAAATTTCTTCTTCTTCAAGAAAAAAAAAAAGATTGTACCCTAAGTATTATTTTAATAACAAATTTCAAACGCTGATATATATTTCCAGAATTTTGATAGTTTAATTACATAGTCCTCACTTTTAATTCCCAATGGCATTGCTTAAAGATTTTTTCTCCTAGTTAAAAAAAAGCAATAGTTTTAAGCGTTTTCTTGTTATGCCATCTTGTTAAATTGAGTTAAATTTCAAAATGGCCCCCTCAACGTAGTTTTGGTACAAAAAATTTGAAAAAAAAATTATTTTAATTTTTATTTCCAAAAATTACATTTTATTTGGAATGAGCCCGATGTCCAACCACCAATTTATATATATATTACTTTGTCTCAAATGGCCACATCCCACCGCTAGTAATTTTTAAAGAATGAAGTTATGGTTATACAGAGCCAATGATTTTTTCTTCCAACTTTGGCTGATCCTCCCATGCCACTTCGCGATCTGCCCGGCCAATTCAAGAAATCAAGAAAATTTTGGACATTGGTCAGCCAATTCACAGCGTTTTTGCCCAGTTCGCGAAGTGACTGAATCCAGGCTTTGGCACTAACATAGGCAGCTCATAGGAAATATACTTATATAAACTGCTGTTTGTAGAAAATGCAACACCATGAAGGAATCATCAGAATCAAATGAAATATTATTTTAATAATGGATATAGGATATTATGCAAATTAATAAAGTTTCAGAGCCATCGCGCGTGCGTGGCGCGCGCAGCGCCCTCTGAATTGATGCTGAAAGCGTATAAATAAAGTGCTGTAGCGGGACGTTGAAAATAGTCTATGATTATTTGTTAGTGGCAAACGTTTAGTGAGACCTGAGTATGCCTCCACGACGGAAGAATAAGAAATTCAAGCAACTTACGGAGTTTGAACGAGGGAGGATAATCGGCCTTCGAGAAGGAGGATTTTCCTATCGCGCAATAGCAGCTCGTATGCAGCGGAACAGTTCCACAGTGATGCGAGTTTGGA